AATTGTACAATACAGGCAGTATTTTAAGAGAAATTGATAGGTATAAAAGTTTTATTAGCAAAGTAGAAAGGTCCCAAATTAGTAATTTCACTGTCTAAAGAAAGTAGAAAAACTGAAAGTAGAAAAAAAAGTGTGTGTGTGTGTAGAAAAAAAGTGTGTGTGTGCGTGCGTGTGTGCGTGTGTGAGGGTAGTGAAGAGTTGAAAATGGGAAATAATAGAGAAAATTATTGAAACAAAACCTGGTTATTTGGAAGAAGATAAAATTGTTAAAGTTCTATTTCAGTTGACTAAGAAAAGAAAGAGAAAGCACATACAATGCCCATTTTAGGAATGAAATAGGGGCTACCACAAAAGACTCTACAAATATTAAAAGGATAATAGTAAAGGAATGCTACAAATAACTGTTTGCCCAATAATTCAACAATTTCTATGAAATGAACAAATTCTTTGACAGAAGCTACTAAGTATCAATAAAAGGAAAGTGATTACCTAAAGTCTTTTATCCTTATTAAATAAGACTCCTAGTGAAAATCATCAGTTAAAGATAACTCCAGGATCACATGGTTTCAATACAAATTGTCTCAGATATTTAGGAGGAAATACTCTTGGTTCTGTATATTGTATTCAGGAAAATAGCAAGGAAGAGGACACTTGTTACCTTATTCAGCAAAGTCAGCATGGCCTGAACACAAGAAGCACACAAAAATATTATAAGAAAACTACAGGTCAATATTCCTAACAAACATAAAAGTAGTTCACAAAATTTATCAAAAGGAACCCAATAATATTTGAAAAACAAATATAGTGCAAAATCCTAAGAATGCAAGGTTGGTTTGATGTTTGGAAAGAATCAATATGACTTACCGTGATAACAGACTAAAGAAGAAAAAGAGTATATGCTCATCTCAATAAATGCATAAAAAGCATTTTATGTAATTCAAAAGATATTCATGATTCAAACCTCAACAAAATTATGAGCTTCTTAAATTGACAAAAAGGCAAGTGCAAAATCTCTACAGCTAACACCATACCCTCTGTTTGCTTTTAAGACTGGGAACCAGGAAAGGATATCTACTTATCATTTTATTCAAAAATATACTGGAAGTCCTATCTAGTGCAATAGACACCTAATATATGCAAAAGGAACAGAAGAAATAATTTTATCTCTTTGTAGATAGCATTATTATCTAAGATCTTAGAGAACTTATTTTATTCCTTTAATTTTAAAATGTGGGACACTTTTTGAATTTGTGTGTCACTGTTGTGCCCGGGACCATGCTGGTCTTTTCTGTGTTGTTCCAGTGTTCCCATATTTATTGCTGAAGTGAGCACACAATTTATGTTTTAAAAATAAATTTTTCTGGAACTATAAAATGTGTTTATGATCATAGTAGGATATGAGGTCACTATAAAATCAAACTTATTTCACACAGCAGCAATGAACTATTGGAAATCACAATGAGAAAAATTGTACCATATATAATACATTCAAAGTAAAATCTTATGGATTTAGTGGAGTATAAGCTGGATCTGTTTTTGGAAATTTACAGAACATTGATGAAAAGCATGAAGAACTAAATATTAATATTGCCACATAAATTTCAAAAAATTTAAAAATGGTACTGTGAAATAGGAAGTAACTGCTGAAAGGGAAAAGGGATGAGGGGGTTGGGTGGAAGAGAAAAGAAAAAAAAAGAAAAAAAAAACCGGTAAAATGGTAAGAAAGCTTGGTAATGAAGGAACAAGGGGTTGAAGAGAAGGAAGAGAAATGACAAAGAAAAGGCGCTAAGATATATCATGTACAGGTACAATTTCCCTACGATGAATGTGATCATTATGCATATCTAAACTGTACCAATAAAATTAATTATAAGGCAAAAAAAGATTTTAAAGTTGAAAATTTCTGAGCATGAGTGAGCTTATACACTGTTTATTAACTGTACTAGTTTGATACAAACAACCCTAAAGTTTTGGATATATGTACTTACGTTTACTATAACATAGTAACCATTTTATAAAAGTGCTTAGTACAGGCATTTTTATGGTGTCTGCAAGTTTTTGCCTTTTGTACAAAAACTTTAATTCTCTTTGTGATATTAGAGGAATCTTTTCGAGTATTTTCACATTTTCAAATGATGCCACCTGAGCCTATGCCTTCCCAAGAAGCAGAAATTCATTGTATATTTACTGGAAAAAGAATTGCTTTGTCGAAGCAGAAACTATAGAAAGAAATCAAGGTTGTGTCTGTGATTGCATAAGAATATGTTCAATCAGTGGTCCTTGAATAACACTGATTCTCGAATAAATTGCTGATTATAATTTGTAGAAAGAGTCAAGCTGTGGCTCATAATCAGAATATTGTGAAATTCTGTGGATATTTTTAGATTGGCTTTCCATGACACAAATAATACAAATCACCACTTAATTAGAATCTTCCAGGTGCATACATATTCAGTTAAATATCCAGTTACATAACTAAGGACCTTTTTAAATCTTAACTTCCACATAAGAACTTTTAAGATCCAAAGGTGTTCATTGAAATCCATTGCATGTTGAAGAAATTTGACAGAGAAATGCTTTGAAACCTCTAGAGTAAAATTTAGAGGTCAGTTATGACTGTTACTGCAATAATCTGTGACTTGGACTTCATTCTCTAACAACTGAGAGTCTCTGGTGAATTCCACAAAACCTGTTTGCACAAGATAACATATGAAGGCAATACACTCAGACTCATGCCTTCGTTAGTACAGTGACCATGGACTGGTTCTCAAAGCTTCCTCCTGATGATCATGTGCCATTGGTTAAGAATTTTGAAACACTCAAAAAACTCCACTATGATTAGAAGGTGGTTCAGTAGAAGAGGGGCAGGAGGAGGAGAAAGGGGGAATTTATTTATGAGCTGGAACATTAGCAAGTAACATCTTTAAGTAGCTTTAAGCTTTGGGATTGAATGCATTAAAGTAATAAGTATTGTCTGGGAAATTTATTGATTAACAATTTACGCCTACCACACCAAAACATATACCCATATATTAATTTTATGGTTATAAATTCTAACTTTGGGTCCAATGGTAGTAAAAGTGGTTGACACACTAAAAAGATATTTAATACCAAGTGACACATGATACATTTTAATTTTATGCAGTTTGTATTGTTTATTGCAGTTTTGCTATTGTTTATAGTACATATTTGGTCTTTGTAAATGGTGACAAATTAGAGATAATATATAGCATTTAATCGAACTATGACCAATATTTAATTACCTTAGCTCTAGGGAGTAGATTTTTCAGCTGTGATATGAATCTACAAAATTACAGTTTTAATTGTTTCATGATAATTGTTATTGTGCAATCTTTGCTTCATTTATTGCCAACATTCCCTTAATTGCATCTGTTTTATTTTCAGTATATCTTGCATTCAGGAGGATTTGCATATTCATTATTTGCAAAATCCCTTTATGAGAAACCAGATTGTGTATATGTGTTGGGAAAGCATTTTCATGACCATTGCTTCAATTTTCTCACAAATAAAAATGTAAATGATTTATGTTTAGCCTGCAATAATTTGTATAAATTATTGTTGATTTTTTTGAGGTTATTTATTTATTCATTTGTTAAAAAGTATATAGTGAGCCCCTATATTATCCTAAGAACTTTTCTAAGCAGGAGGGAGAGGAGCAGTGAAAAAACAAACAATAACCATTTGCATAAATTGAGCTTATATTTTGGCCAAGGAGAGAAAGGCACAGAATATGTAAGTAAAAATATGTTTTGTGTCAAGTGGTGACATTTGTTATGGAGAACAAGAAAAATGAACTGAGAAAAGAAATGCTAGAGGTGAGGTAAGATGATTACATTTTAAGTAGAGTACTCAGCGTGTTTCCTTTAAAAACATGTTAATAAGCAGAAAGACCAAGGAGTAGAGAGCAAGCTATGTGCATATTGAAATGAACTGTAAATGCAAAGATCTGCAGTGGTAAGGGTGGCTTACGTGAGGATGGTTATGGTAAGGACTTCATGTTTCTGTCGTATGAAATGGTCCTATGCAAAGGGTTTGATCAGGGGAGACTAGACCTGCCTCACATATCTAAATATCGTAGAGTGGTTAAAGGCAGTAACATGCAGGCAGACTAAGACGGTATTACTATAATCCAGGAAGGGATAGTCCATTGAGCTAGAGGTGGTAGCAGTACAGCAGGAGACGGGATGTTGTCAGAGCCTGTTTGTTTTGCAGGCAAAACAGACATTTGCTGATGGACACTACTGTATGTTTACTGAGAAAGACAAACAGACAGACATAGAGAATTGCATTTTTTTTTTTTTTGACCTGAACTAGAAGGATGATATTTGAATTATTTTCTTGCTTCTGGGATAAAATCCCAACATCCACAAGTTAAAGGAGGAAAGATTTATTTTGGCTTACAATTTGTAGCAGTCCATAGTGGGTTGGCTCCTGGGCAGGGCAACATGGCATAGGGGCATGGCGGAGGATAAACAGTCCATGGCAGGGCAGGTAAAAGATAAAAAGTGGGATCAAGGGAAGAAGAAGAGTATATCTATGTGCTCTTCCAGGTCACACCCAGAATGATCTATTTTTCCCATCAGGCCTCACTTCCCAACATCATTCCCAGCTATAAACCCATCAGTGGACTAATCCAGTATCACAACCCACGATCTAGCCACCCTCTAAAAGTCCATCTATGAATGCATGGGGCTTTGGTGGACATTTTTAAGGTATGAACTATAGCAGATGAAGGTCTCATTAGTGGAGACCGGAAAGACTATGGGAAGAGAAAGTTTGCATAGAAAAAAATCGGAAGTTTAAATTTAAACCTATTTCTACTTCAGTTCTTGTTCTTCCACATAAAGGGACCACCCCCAATCCTTTGTTTTAATAGGGCTACCTAGAGGTAGAAAGTGCTTTGTAGAATTGAATTAATTTTAAGAAATCTTTTCAGTGGTATTTGCTTCTCACTTCCTGCCATTCTTTATATTTAACAGATGAAATGTTACCATGTCAAGAAGCATCAAATACGGAAGAACAGCTCTGTCCTCTGGATACAGATCTCTGCAGAACTGATTCTACAGATGAAGAACTGAGATGTATGTGTTATATTGAGATGCTTACCTTATTGGTGTGTACACAGTTTAAAGATATAGATACCACTGGTAGGAATATATACATGTAACCCTTATTCACACTAATGTCCTAGAGTTAGCTGAAGTGTGAAAGAAGGCTGTGGTTTATTAAAAAGGTGTAAACTACTGAAAACATCTATTGAAGGTGATGATTTCTAAAATGACTCCATTAAAGACCATTTTAGAAGTACACACAGTTTCTGCTTTAAATTTCCAATGCAACTGGAATAGCAAATAATTAAACTATCTAATTCCATAATGTAGGTAAGCCCAAATAGCCCTATATTTTTTTCACTACTGGGGATCAAAACTAGGGCCTTATGCATTCTTAGAAAGTATTCTGCCACCCAGTCACAATCCCAGCCTCAGGCCAAACGCTATAAAATTTAAAACACTGTAATTGAAGCAGTGGTATCAGAAAACTAGATCTGCTCCCCCTGGCTCCTCCCTCCTTGCTTTCTTTCCTCAACTTCTTTCTTTCCATTCACGGTTCTTTTTTGAGATGGTGAATGTCTGGACTCACTGAAGAACTTTTTCAAATACAGTTGCCGGTATTCCCTAAGACTTATTAAATCTAGATTTCCAGATATTAATATATCCGTGTCAGACTTTCCATTAATTATAACATTTAACCCAGGTTAAGCAGCCACTCTAGCAAACTGTAATGGTTTGCTAAGATCATTTCCTTTCTTCTGTAGGGTGTCACAACTGTGGATTTGACTTTGACTTGTGTGACAGGAAGTCAGAGGCATCTGCTGGGCAAATTTCCTGGATGTGCACCAAAGCAAGTGAGATTCCTACATTAGAATCTGCACCTCAGCGGGACCACAATATCAGTGAAGAAGGTAACAAATAAATCATAATTTATTTAATAGAAATCTTAGAATTCTACTTTCTTTTGACTGGTAGTAATAAGACATTACATAGAGACAATGTAATAAGACATTACATTGATGAACATAGTATACCAAGTTGATCATGTCAATAGACACCAAAAGTAAGAAAAAAACAAACCATGTTTCCAACATAGTATAAAAGAACAATTATGCTATTTTAACTATTGCTTGTAAATTTTATGATTTTCCTATCAGCAAGAGATATTAGACTTTGTGGGAATGAGAAGGAGAGGTACTGGATGGTTTTTCTACCAAGTGCACTTGATCCCAGTCACTGCACTGCCATCAAGGAGTTCCTTCCATCTGTTCTAACAAATTAATTTTGTATTTTATGATTATTTTTTCACCATTTTTATTTCTTTGACTGGGAGAAGAGTATTATTAATCTTTTGTTTTTATTTTCTTCTCAATTGTGGAGCTTTGTATTTTTAATTTTTAATATCTATCTTTAGCGTTAAATTTCTTTAGCAGAAACTAAAGTGCAAGGTATTTCTGTTTTCTTGAATATGAGAAAGACCTTGATTCAATGGAAGTATTCTTCTAATCTTTTTTTTGTTTTGAGTTTACATGTTAACATTTTAAATTTTTATATTTACAATTAGTATAATTGTATGTTTTTATCATTTCCTATAATGACCATTGTTTTTTAAATTTTTATTGATTATTTTTTATGTGTGTGTGTGACGCTGGGATTGAACCCAGGACCCCACACATGCTACACAAGGGCTGTACTCTGAGTTATACCTTCAGCCCCCAAACCATTGTTCTTAAAAATTTCATGTTTCTTCTCTAGCTTTTTCTTTTTCTTGCAAAAGTTGATATTTTAATTTATTATTTTATTTGGAGATGAGCTATGGTAATAAGTTCCCTTAGTGTTTGGCAACTTAATATGTTTTTAAATTGGCCTTATTCCTTTTGTTTGTTTGTTTGTTTGTTTTTTCCGGTACCGGGAACCGAACTCATGACCTTGCGCTTGCCAGGCAGGCGCTGTGCCACTGAGCTAAATCCCCAGCCTTGGCCTTATTCCTATATAATTATCTGCTCAGACAATTTTAGAATGAGGTTTGTGTGCTTCTACTTTCTCAGTTCATTATGGTTGTCCTTCATTACCTCCTAACACTTGCTTTTATAATTGAGAAGTCTGAGTTCATCTAATATTTTTTTGAATTTACTGAAAAGTTAAAAAATGTTTCTTTATCTTTGATGTTGAAAGTTTGGTATGGGGGCTGGGGATTTAGCTCAGCGGCAAAAAGCGCCTGCCTGGCAAGCATAAGGTCGTGAGTTCGGTTCACGGTACCGGAGAAAAACCAAAAAAAAAAAACAGAAAGTTTGGTATGATAAGAATAGGTGTGAAAAAAAAAAATATATATATATATATATATATATACCAGGAATCAAACTCAGGACCTTGTGCTTGCTAAGCAATGTGAATATATTTTCATTAGGGGCCAAGAATGTAGCTCAGGGGCTCAGCACCTGGCTAGCAAACTCAAGGTCCTGAATTCAATTCCCAGTATCCAATATATATTATATATCTATATATATCTATATATATAATATATATATAATTTTTGAGTCCTCAGAATACATAAACTGTATGACTTGAAAATTATCTGTTATTCAAATAATTTTTTTCTTTTTCCTTGAGTTCCTTTTTATATCTATTGGATCACTTTAAACTGTGAAACTTGGCACCTCTTTTTACTTTCTGCATGATTTATTCTATTTTACATCATATTCTTAGCGCTGTTTCCTGAAACAAATTTTCTCTGACTAGGTTTAGTCTAGGTTATATTCTAGTGGGCATTTACTTTCTATACTCCTTTATGGTGGCACAAATATGGTAGTACTTACAGAGACAAAATATTTCTAATGCTCACATTTGTCCCTGGTGTTGTTGCTGTCATCATTTCATTTATCAATTTTATCATTTCATCAATTTTTTTGGTACCAGGAATTGAACTCAGGACCTTGTGCTTGCTAGGCAGGTTCTATGCCACTGAGCTATACCCCCATACTCTATCATTACATATATAGATTTATGTATAATATTTATAAACTGTAACAATGAAATACTTTGTTGCTATTACTCCCTGAACAAACCATTAATGGATCAATCAAAAATAAGAAATTTTTTGCATTCTTATAATTTTCTAATATTCTATTTTGTTTATGTGCATCCAAGTTTTTAATCTATATTATTTTCCTTCCCTCTGACAAACTTATTTCTTGCAAAGCAGTTTTAATGGAAAGAATTTCTTCAATTTTAGAAAATATTTAACTCCCCCTTACGCTGCATGACAATTCATTGGATGCAGATTTACTCATTGTTAATTTTTGGGGGAGGAGGCCTTAACCCTAAGTATTTCACTTCACTCTTTTCTTGCATGTGTAGTTTCTCAGGTATAATTCTAAAATTTTTTCTCCTTGATAGGTAAGATGTTTTTCCCTCTGGCTTCTATCAAGATATTTTATTTTATTTTATTTTATTTTATTTTTTATTTTCTGCAGTTTGAACATTATATGCCCAATGCAGTTGTTTTTCTTTGTTTTTAGCATTTGTTCTCAGTGTTTTTATTTTCCTGAGTTTCCTGTATCTGTGATTTGGTTTCTGACATTATTTGTGGAAGTTCTCAAATTATTGCTTCAAATATTATCTGGTTCTTTCTCCATATTTTTCTTATACACACATTTCATATATACGAAGTGTTTTATATGTCTTCCACAGTTCATAATACTCTTTCTTTATTTTGATCCAATAGTTTTCTTTTTTCTGCATTTCAGCCTTGGGAATACCATTTACATATCTCCAAGCTCAATGATTCTTCCTTTAACTATGTCTAGTTTGCTAATGAGTCCACAGATACATTCCTGATTTCTATTTTACTGCTTTTGATCTCTGTCATTTCATTCTTAGAATTTCCATTTGTCTGCCTACACTTTTCTGTTGGACCTTTTAGCATAGTAATCACACTTTTTTTAAATTCACAGTCTGATCTTCCAACATTGCTACGATATCCGAGTCTAGTTCTGATGCTTCTTTTTCTGGACTGTGTTTTTCCTTTCAATATGCATTGCAATTTTTTCTCTCAAAAGCCACATTTATAAAGAGCATGGCTTTTTGTATAAAAGTGTTATGATCAGGAGTGTGAGCTCTTATGCAGTTGAATTGGCTCAGGGTTGACCTGTTTACTTTTTTGCTACAGTGGAAATATATGAGGCTAAATATTACCTGGTGTCCTTGTTTTTGTCTTCTTGATTGTCACTGAGTTCTCTTAGAGAATTCTTAAATAAGATCTGAGCCAAATAGTTCTTTTAGTACTTATCTTCCCCTACTACACAAGAGCTTTGTTGATGTGATAGTAAGTTAGGAGACCAGGGGAAACATTCTACAGTCCTATTATTAAGTCTCAGTCTTTTAGTGAGCCTGGGCTTCTGTTCCGTCACCTTCAAAGGGTTTATTAATACCCCATCCCCCACCTTAGGTGAGGCAGGAAGGCTGGGCAAGGGGGTGGGAGGGCTTTGGGTTTTTTCCTCCCCCTGTATGGAAGGCTAACCTTGAATGGAGTTGTATATTGTCATTTAGACTCTGGCACAATTCTAGTGATTTAGGTTGTGATAAAGTATATTTTTCATGAATCAGATCCTCTTAAGAACAGAATAGTACAGGTTTTCTTCAAAATTGCTGCCTTTCCTCCTTCCCAATTGCAAACACAAAGGGATTTTTCTCTAATTTCCACTGTGAGAATTTTATAGGATTCCTGGAGGTAAAGCTCCGAGAGTGCGCTGTCCACATAGTTAGGTTGGGAACCTACGGCACGTGTGCTGCTGCAAATAGTTCGTATCACTAGAAAGCCGAAACATTTCACCATCACTGTCCTAGAGCTTTTCGACTTATCCACACTGAGATCAGTTTAGGTTTTCCTCTTTGGGCACTCGTTCGGGCAGGGTTTTGTAATCCTGTGATTTGCCCTAGTAAGCTGAGTCTCTTTGCCTGCCCCCTCCCCCGCCCGCCCCACCTCCGGTCTGACTGTAGGACAGTGGATTGCATACTGACAGCTCTCTGGTGGATCTGCACAGAGCTGGTGACTTGAAGTTTCTTCAGTTGAATGTGAAGAGGTGTTGACTCTTGTTTATTCTTGTTAAGTGGATAAAAGTCACAACTTCCAACTTCCTTGCGTGTGGTCCAAAACCAGAAATTTTGTAGGCTTTTTTCACTGAGATTTGTTCTCTTTCTCCAGCCCTTCCATTCTTTCCCGCTCTTACTCTTGGTTCCCAACCCTTTGAGTTTAGTGATTTTTGTTATAGCATTATTCATCTCCCCAAGACCTTCTCTGTGTAACAATACTAGCTGAGGTATTCTTACACCATGGGCGTTCTTGTAGTTTTGCACTGTAGCTTAACTAGAATCAGGTAGTGTTACATGAGCAGGGTTTTTGCTTCATTCTTTGACTTCACTCTGGTTTGACTCAGTTTTTTTATTTCTTTTGTGCAACTTGAATCAGTAAGTATCCAGACTGAGACAGCCTGCTTCTTGTCCCAGAGTCCAAGAATTCTGTGATTTCTGTTGCGTTGGTACTGAACATATTTATTCTTTCCTTATCTTTTGAAATATTTTTCGTATTTTAATCTCTGTCTACTTTCTTAAAAATGTTTTAAGTTTTTATAATTTCTTTGTGTTTAAATCAGAGGCTAAATATTGTTACTGTGCCAATTTGATTAAAGCCTAAATTTCTAGGAAATAAGTTTCACTTAATTTAAATTTGTAGTTTTTAGAAACTATGGGGATATTTACTAACATATAAAGAAATGAATTATCTCAAACTTTGTTACAAACATATCATAGAAAACTCTTTGTATACCTGATATAACAATATTATTGATTAAGGAAGAGTCCAACTTGGTTTTAAATATCAGATGAGAAAATGGATTAAAATTATTTTTATGTACTGTAAAATTCATAGGTGAAATTTGATGGGATTGTAGACACTTTATACTTTCATATCATTTGGTAACAAAGAGAACATTTAAAATTGTATAGTCTTAAGACTATATGAATGTAGAAGAATAATCAGAAAGGTAAATATTCGGGGGAAAAAGAAGAATTCTTGATTAATGAAATAATGCATTATTACATTTAAAATAAAATTGTAATAATCTGATGGTGGAAGAATTTTTATATCATAGATTTCTTTAATAAGAATATTAAGCTTCAATATTGAGGATGCCATCAAACTATGATTTTAGAAATGAGGTAAAATTACAAAATGTTTCAAAAGTCAAATATAAAAATAAAGCCTATCATTTGTAGCTAATGACATTGTTTTCAGCATCAAATTCTTTTAAATAAACTATTTTTCCTAAACCTAGGGTTAAGAATTTTAAAAATATAATAGTTTTGTTCAGACAGAGAGCAGCTAATTTTCTCTTTTCCTTTTTTTTTTTTTTAGACCGCTATGTATGGGTCGGGGCAAAGCATCCTTTTGCTCTCAGCCATGCGGACAGCACTGCTTATTTAAACAGCTCTGTGTGTCACTGCTTGGGCAGGAGATGCCATCTTCAATTCTATTACTCCATGGACAGCAGTATTCTAAGAGTGGGACTATATAACAACGAGGTAAGAAGGAGTACCATTTCAAGTTCATGCAATTAGTGAGCTTTCTATTCTTGACAACTTGTGTTTCTATTTCACAGTTCTATCTAAACCTTAGAGATTTTGTAACTTAGCATTCAGTATACTTTTCAGAAGAATTAGTAAGAGGCCAGTGTATGAAAGGAAGAAGTATCGTGCACCAAAATTAATATGATAATTTGCACAGTATTATTTCATAAAATTGCAAAAATCCACAAACTGTTAATAAGAAATGGTAGTTCTCACTCAAGTAAAGTATCTGGAATTTTGGGTTGTTAGCTTGATGTTGAAACTTTGATGTGATCTGTGTGGATTTTAGATCACTATATCATTGAAACTATAAATATGGAAGTAAGTTATTTGTTTTAGTACAACTAGATGCACTTAATGGCTGGTAGTTGCTGATTAAATATAGACAAAGTGTCCTTTGAAAAAAAAAGAGACACCTGGTAGAAAGTTATGGTAACTATGCCAGGGTATCAAACACATTGAGGCCTAAAAGCTATTTTCTACAAGAGGGAGAATGCATGAGGCACTTTGACAATCTCTATTATGAAGAGAAAATTATTTATAAATGGGAATAAAGCAACTATGGGGGTAAATAGCAGTCATTCTAGAAACTGGAGGCATTTGGCAATAACTGCAGGAGTTCTGACATTGGAAGAAAGGAACCCAGTAAAGGCATCCAAGTGAATTGCCTGTATCCAAGGATACTTTCAATAAATCTGCTTAAAACTTCCCCATGACACAGACCACATTTATTATTTCAACAAAGGTTTTCACCTCTACTTATTTGGTGCCATGGACAACCTGCCACGAGCATTTTCCTCTGGCCTGCCTTTCTGTGAATGACATGTGGTCACAACCCTCAAATGTTAGGTGCTCATCATCAAGATATTTGAACATTCAGGAGGAATCTTTTCTCTCCCTCTCTTTGCCTTTTGTGCCATTTTCATCCTCTTTGGTCTTCTTTCTTCTACTTCTTCCTTTTACAGATACTCAGGAGTCTCAGTCACACATTTAAATTGATATTCTCCTTAAAAATCACAATACATGCTTCTTTGTTACCAGGATGAGACATAACGTGTAGCATTCTGTAACTGCGTTATATTTTTGTGACTTTTTGGCAGTGGCAGCTTGTAGACAATTGGTTTGCATCTGTTGGACCTATTTCATTTTATTTGATAAATCACATGGGTAGCGGTAGAGGGAAGAAAACCATGTCCCTACTCTTTCTGCACCACAACAAAACTTTTTACATGAATGGTGCCATTCTAGAGCAAACAAATGAAATACCCTCAAAACTAAAAATCAAAAGTTAAACTTTATCCAAATATCATTCATGTCCCAACAATATTTTTGTTATTGTCCTGTAGATACACTCCCCCTACCCCGTTTAAATGGGGCCCCGTGAGGTACCAGGTAATCCAGAATCTTCTGTCATTTCCAGTTTCCTCCTTCAATAATGGCATAGAAAAAAAATTTAGACAAATTTTATAGACTTTAAATCATATTTGAAACTACTTAACAAGAAGACCCTGCATAATATTATTCACATGGCAAGTAATAAATTTGTGTTCATTTTGTGAATGAGCAACCTAAATTTAATTAGAAATTTGAATCTTATATATTCTAATCTCAAGGATTGTCTTAATATAACCTGAACATCAGTGATAGAATTTAAAATTTCAATATGTGTAACAGAGTTATGATTGGCTGAAAATAGCATCATTCTTCTGGTGGCTTTAGAGCTGTACAATAAAAACATGAGAATAAATTGTCTTCAGATACCATATAATCTAAAATGGATTTAACAAGCATTCATGTCCTACATTATAAGGAAAGAAGCCTGCAGAACTGATCTAGAGTATTAACTAGAACCCGTTGGGTACAGAGATTAGAGAGTATCTACTGATGTTGAACCCCCTGTGTGCACCTTGTATCCTGCAAGACGTCCTGTCTTTTCTGACACTTTTATTTGTCACTTTATATCCATGTAACATGGTGGTCACTGATAAAAAATCTGCATCAAGGGATATTTAAGACAAAAATAGATGCTTTAGCACATACTTTAATAGGACTCAACATAAGAATATTGTTGAAAAAATGTCATTTGTATCTTCTGTCAATAGGACACTGTTCACCAATCTGAGCATACTCATATTTAATGATAATAGTAAAGTCATCTGGGTTACTTCCAGAGGACATTAGAACTGGAGAGGTAGGAAATGCCTGTGAAGATAATTTGTTCAGTAAGAAGTACTCTTTCAGAGTCTGCTTAAGCTCAACACACTTCCAGTTTGTACTGCCTAGCTATCCTTGGAATTATCTCTGTTCATCACCTATAAAATAATAATTACAACAGCCTCCATTTTTCTTGAGAAGTTCCATGCCAGTGAGTCATGGATCTAGGGTGACTTGCTTGAGACACCATTTACATGTTTTCTAAATCTCCAGTGACAAATAGAAAGAGCATAAAGTTTAGAAAGGAAATACCCTATAGAGTATTTTTGTATAATACAGTTTTTAAAGTTATAATGTTTTCCTTGAAAGAAGGTCTTTACCAAATTACATAGATTTGTCATGTGTCTCAATTAGTATATAAAATTAGTATATGAAAACTCACAAGTTTGGGAAGAGCTCTTTCTCCCTTTTCGAAAAACTGGAAATATTTTCTTCAGGGAAACCAATTAGTTATTGTGGGGAAAAAAGCACCATTGCTCTAAATTTTTCTCATAAAATGAACAGTAGGAGACATGATGAATGCAAAATGCCAAGAAATGTCTTGAAAAGCATTTACGGAAGATCTATATGTCTTCGTGCTAAATAAATGAAAATGGAAATAATTGGAAGAATTTGTTGTACAGTTCAGCTTTTGTAACTCGTGCATCTTGCTGTGACACAGAAACTATCAGCTAAAAATACTTTCATGTGTTTCATTGTGTTGTGGAAGTTTCCTAGTTAGTACGAATGTGTACTGATGTGAAGTGTATTTTTATGGATTTAGATTACTTTGCAAAATATGTAGGGATTGGAAATTCGGAGTAGACTTCAAAGTGTAGAGGACTAAGTTGGAAATGGATTTATTTTTGGAAAATATTGGATATGAATGAAATAATGGAGTAAGGAGATAAATGCTTACCATGAGTGTGAAAAATTAGGTCATGTGTCATTAGAATTACAGCAGTTATTACCTTCCCTTGTTTTCTGTCTCATACTAAAAGGCAAGCAAGGCCAGTCTCAGAGTTCAACCTGAGACATTTATGGCATTCTCCACGTTTTCATCATAGTGATACATGAAAAATAAATATGTCCTATATTATGAACATTCTGCTTTGTCTTTCCTGGGGAAATGTCAAATTGAGTTGAATGTTTCCTAAAATCTAAAGAAAAATGGGATTATCTCAGAGCATAAAATCATGGCCATAAATCATAAAGATCAATACTATAAACACAGTTATGGAGTATATAGTAGACTTTTTGAAAAAATGTCTTGCTTCATAGTGTGTAGTGATAATTTTACATATTTTGGAAATTAACAGTAGATCATTGTACTGGTATATGGCATAGTATGCTCTGGAAGAGCTAAAAAGACCTTTTATAGAATGACTGGACAGTAAAAATATTATATGGAGCAGTAATTATGTGGAACTTGGAATGAATTATTCTATAGGAAATAATATTGAGATGGTACAGGAAGTGCTTCTAATATTTCTTGAAATATATATTAAATGTTTGCCTGTTCTTTCTTTCCTTTCTAGTGTCATGGCAAAATCACTAAATGTAATAATATAAAGATTAACATTTAAATTGCTGGCATTATCAGTTGCTATTTAGAATTTTATTTTTGAAATGGTGTTTCATTTCTTTTCAGAGTCCATTCAAACTTTTTGTTCTGTCTTAGTATTTTTATCCATGAAAAGATGGAAAGCAGGGTTGTTGAATATGATCAATGCACACTGTATGCATGAAAGGAGATATCACACTGAATTTCAGTGATTATGTATATTCAATTTATGCATTGATAAAAATAAACATTTTAAAAAGCAGGTTTGTTAGAAACACACATTGTGTATTTATTGTTCCTTTATAATGTTATTTAACTTATTCTTTCTTAGCTCTAATACTTTAAATTTCCCAGTATTTAATAGCATATATATATATGCCTACTAAACAAATGCCTACTAAACAAATGCCTACTAAAATGTAATTGAGAAAGCATATATATCAATGTGAAAGCAGTATGTCTTTTTCTCCAAATCAAAGGAAGAAGAAACATTTTGGACATACAATACATCAACTCAGAGCAAATGGGTGAAAGCAGACATGTTAATACCAGAAGGTCTGAAGACATTTAAGGTATAAAAGAAAACAAACAAGGGGCTGGGGATTTAGCTCAGCGGCAAAGGCGCCTGCCTGGCAAGTGCAAGGTCGTGAGTTCGGTTCCCGGTACTGGAGAAAAACCAAAAAAAAAAAAAAAAAAAACCAAAGAAAACAAACAAGTATTTTTAATCATAAGTTTAACTTTTAGTTTTGAAGTAGTGAACTTATCATCAGCTACTAAATTTGAATTTGCATTTAAATTAATGTAGACTTGTGTGTCTAGGGAGAGTAGTAATTACATACACCTGGCCCGTAGCAGACCAAATTTCCCATGAACAGAGTATCTAGTGTGTCTACTCTTGATCAAAGCTGTTCCTTTTTCTGTGCATTCCTGTGTAGCAATTCCAGATGCTTGCCTTGCACAAGAGAAGTAGTATTTATTATGAATATAATAAATGGTAAACTGATGTTGAAAATCTGTGAAATATATATGTAAATATTCTGAATGCACTAATTCATGTCTTTATAATACTTGGATAATTGTATCTATGACAAGAAACATACACATGCCCACAGAAACTCAGTGAATTCTGTCTCTTAAGATATTAACTTTAGATTTTGTGTTTTATATGTCACATAGGTCTATTTATGCTTGGGTATGAGTTTTAAAATAGGCTGGTTTTATGGATGGTTTATGAAACAAATTTCATTCCTTTATGATACAGTTTGTACATATTTCCAGATATTGAAGGGAAGAATTCCCAAAGTACTGATGTGTAAACATTTAGTATTCCCTATACTTGTAAACTTGGAATCCTGGGCCATAGAAATTTTGTGGCAAACTTGAAGTTTAAATCACATTCAATGTTTCTGAGTTAATATTTTGACACTGTTTTAATTCATTTATAAGCTGGCACTTGACTTTATAACTTCTGAAAGAGGTATTCAGTAAGTCTCTGTTTGCACAAACTGAAGATTTAAGTTGATGTTGTTATTTGACTCAAAGATAAAATAAAACAGAGAAGGTAAATTTATCACTTATCTAGAGTAAGATGTATTTTAGTGTAGCTTAGTGTGTTCATTTAGTGTGGTTTACTTTGCATTCACCTAATGGCCAAGTCCATGACCATCTTTTCATATATTTGTGGTCATTTGTACTTCTAAGAAGTATCTCTTTACTTCAGTTGACCATTTTTGATTGTCCTTTTATCTTTGAGCATCTAATATTTTGAATTATATATATGTACACACCAGATATTAGTCATCTGAAGAAATTCTTGTGCAACTGAGGTTCTGCTCAGAAAGTCCTTGCTGATCCTTACGACTACAGGAGTTTCACATCTGTAGCTTTCAGCAGATTAAGTGTTTCCATTTCCATGTTTAGGTCTTTGATCCATTTTGATTTTAGTTTAGCACCTGATGAGAGATGTGAGTCTATATTCAATCTTCTGTATATTGATAGCTATCTTTCCCAGAAGCAATTTGTTAAAGAAGTAATGTTGCTTCCAGTGTATATTTTGGCCCCTTTGTCAGAGCTCAAATAGCTGAATGTGGCTGGGTTTGTTTTTCTGCTCTCTACTTGTTCCATTGATCTGTGTATCTGGTTTTTTTTGCCAGTACCATGCTGTTTTTATCATTGTAGTTTTGTAATATAACTTCAGATCAGGGATTGTGATGCCATTTCCTGTGCTCTTATTACCCAGGATTGCTTTTGCTATTATTCTTGGTCTCTTCTGATTCCATATAAATTTTAGAATTATTTTCAATCACTCTGTGAGGATTGCTATTGATGTTTTGATTTGGGTTGTCATTAAATCTGTATGCCAGTTTTGGAACTATGGCCATTTTGATTATATTGGTTCTGCCTATCCAAGAGCAGGGGAGAGCTTTATATTTTCCAACATTTTTTTCATCTCCTTTGCAGAGTATATAGTTTTTATTGTAGACATCTTTCACTTCTTTGGTTAATTTCTAAGCACTTGTTTTTTTAATTTATGCTATTGTGAATGTTATTGTTTTTCTAATTTCTTTCTCAGTGAGCTTATTATTTGGGTATAGGAACACCATTCATTTCTGTGTGTTGATTTTGCATCCTGCCACGTTGCTGAATTTGGGTATTAATTCTAGGATTCTTTTGATGGAGTTTTTTTGAGTCTTCTCTGTAGAGGTTCATGTCATCTGAAAACAATGATAATTTGACTTCATCCTGTCCTGTGCATATCCCTTTTACTTATTTTTCTTGAATGATTTCTCTGGATCATATTTTGCAGACGATGTTTAACAGAAGTGCTGAGAGTGGACATCCTTATCTTGCTCCTGACTTTAGAGGGAAAGATTTCAATTTTTCCCTATTTAATATGATGTTGGTAGTAGGTTTGTCATAAATGGTTATCAGATTGAGGTACAGTTCCTCTGTACATATTTTTTTAGTGGTTGTATCATATATGGATGCTGGATATTTTCAAAGACTTTTTCTGTATCAGTTGAGATGACCATGTGATTTTTGTCCTTGCTTCTATTCATGTGATGTGTTACATTTACTAATTTGCATATGTTGATCCATCCTTGCATCCTTGGAATGAAGCCGACTTGGTCATGATGTATGATCTTTCTGATGATTTGTTGCATTCTTTTTCCTAGTGTCTTGCTGAGATTTTCACATCTATGTTCACTGAAGACATTGGTCTATCTTTCTCTTTCTTTGGTTAGATCCTTGTCCATTTTTAGAATCAGACTAATGCTAGCTTTCAGAAATGGCTTTAGGAGTATGCTTCCCTTTCAATTTTATTAAAGAGCTTCCAGAGCATTAGTGTTAGACCATCCCTGAAGTTCTTATAGTCCAGACCTGGACCACTTAGTTGGTAGATTTTTTAAATTACTGCTTCAATTTTATTATCTGTTATTTGATTTAGGGGTTTTTACAAGATTTGGTTCAGTTTTGATAATTCATATAAATCTAGGAATCTTTGCATTTCTTCTGCATTGTCCAATTTATTGGTGTACAGGTTTTCAATGAAGTTGCAAATAATTTTATGGATTTTTTATAGTATCTTTTTTGGTTTCACTTTTTTATCCCTAATTGCACTGATTTGTGTCTTTTCTTTCCTTTTTTGGTAAGATGGGCTTAGGATTTGTCTATTTTATTTATTTTTGTGAAGAACCAGTTCATCCATTCACTGATTCTTTGTATTGCTGTTTTAGTTCTCATTTCAGGGACTTCTGCTCTTATATTTATAACTCGTTCCTTCTGCCAACTTTGGATTTACAATGTTATTGTTTTTCTAGGACCTTAAAGTGTATCGTTATCATTTGGTTATTTATCTAAGTTTACTCTGGTGTTTTGTTGTTTTGTTTTTTTTGGTTTTTCTCCAGTACCGGGAACCGAACTCACGACCTTGCGCTTGCCAGGCAGGTGCTTTGCCGCTGAGCTAAATCCCCAGCCCTACTCTGGTGTTTTGTTTTTGGGTGTGGGCATTCACAGATATGAACTTTCCTCCTAGTCCTCCTGTCATTGCTTCCCATACATTTGGTTAATATTATAGTGGCACGCATCATCTTCTTGTAAGAACTCTCTTGTGCAAAGTAAACTCTCAAGTCTTCTTATTTACTTCAGCATACTTCTTATTTACTAGCTAGTATGTGTTCTGTTTTGGAGAAAGTTCCATATGTTTGTAAGAAAACTACATATTCTGCTTTGGGGTGTAACACTCTGTAGATATCATAAATATTATCTTCTAAAGTAAAATTTTAAATATATTTGCAAACTGAAACTTGTTTAAAGCAATTCTTCAACAAAATATCAAAATTTTGAAAATACAAAAGTCTATTTAGAAAATTTAAGGCAGGATGAGTCTTTAAAGAGTCAGTCTTTATTCCTACTATCTTGTGAAAACTTTTAAACATTTAGTTCACTGCTGTTCAATAGAACTTTCTGCTGTAATGGAAATTTTCCATATCTGTGCTATTCAGTATGGCAGTCACTAGTAACATGGGGCTCTTGAACATTTGAAAGGTAGCTAATGTGACTGAGAAACTGAATTTTAATTTTCTTTTAATTCATTGAAATTGAATAATTATAATGATTAGCTCCTAAATTAGACAGCAGAAAATTAATTATTCATTGTACAGCCAGCTATTCATTCTTCTGCACTCTTGGTTTTTTTAATCATTACTTTTGGTGAAACTTTAAAGAAATAGTAGTATTTTGACACTGCCTTACATTTGACTGACAGTGTAAGGTTGTTTCGCTTGTTAATGTTGTGTTTCTCCAGAATAGGTAGCAGTGTGTTTAGAAAAAAATCATGTGTCTTTTCTTTAAGGGTAATTTTTATTCTCACTAGAAAAAGTATCCTTTTCTAAAAGTTTAATTGATTTTTATATTTTTACTTTTAAATTATTGTTATTATATTAGGTTACTTTCTATCAGTGTGTAGTAGTTAAAAACTCAGATTCAGTTATAGCTCTTGTTGTATAAGTAATGACACTACTTTTTCTTGTCCGCGAAAATTGTGAGCTCGGAAAATGAATCCCAGTTAACAAGTTTGCATTTAAGGACCTTTGCATGGTTAAGGGGGATGCTGTATTTCTGCTCATCCAGGGAGGTTTCTCAGAGTGTAGCAAACATGTTCATCATTGTCAGAAAAGTGGGTTGAATTTATCAAACAGGAGCTTCGTTATCAGTTGTACTTGGTGGTTCGTTAAACCACTGTTTACTCTTGCATCGCTATCATCCTTTTTTAGAGGTTTGGTTTTTGTTTATTAAAAGAGATTACAAGTTCATAGACTCACTTTTTTTCCCCTTGAAGATTGTTTTTGAAGGGGTCATTCTGAACCAGAGAAGTTTTATTGGACTTGATCGGCTGTCGGTCTATGCCTGTGGACGGAACCGCTCCAGACAGCTTTGCTCTGGGGATGAATTCCCTTGCGCCAGTGGCCAGTGCATTGCCCAGGAATCCGTCTGTGACTCTCGGCGGGACTGCTGGGATGCGAGTGATGAAGACCCATCAACTTGCTGTAAGTGAACTGATAGCTTGCTTGCTTACCTGCCCTATTTCCTGACTGCTGGATTGAAGAAAACCTTTATTTCTATGAAGGTAATTAATTTCTATAAAACAAGGTCAATGAACATTTTCACTTTAAAATGTATTGCACTATCCCCTTGTTGGTCTCCTTGTCATTTTCATATTTCGGTGTTTACTGCCAAGATTACAAACAAAATGTGTGCATTTGTTCCACAAGTGAATAGTGCTAGTGTTGTGTGTGAGTGCAGAAATGTGTATGCATTTTGTTACAGAATAGAATGGAGATGGGATGGAATCTCCTTGTCATTCCCTTTAGAGATACGTATTATGGATTGCTAACCTTTCTTAAATATATAGTTTTTCTCCCATTCCTAACCAATTACCTTGAAAGTCACAGAGAGAAAGTAAAGAGGAGGAGGTCTGCCGTCCCCTCCAATGCAGTCTTTTTTTTTTTTTTTTTTTTTTTTTTGGTTTTTCTCCAGTACCGGGAACCGAACTCACAACCTTGCGCTTGCCAGGCAGGCGCTTTGCCACTGAGCTAAATCCCCAGCCCCTCCAATGCAGTCATGATGAGAGTAGAGGTCACCTCAGCCACCACTGGCGGTCGTGAGGGCACATGGCCAGCCACTTCCTTGCAAGCCTCTTGTCTAGCGTGTGAGGTGGAAGAATAACAAGAGATCCCATTACTGTTTAAACCTGGTCATATTTTAAAGAAAGTGAAATTGAATTTACTATCACCATGATGGTTCTCGTAGCAGATAACTTAGCAACTGAGATTCTTGCCTCTTTTTAGAAACCATGAGTTCCAACTAACTGAATCTATTTTGTACATCACAACTAAGGGGATTTTTAAAAAACCCTATTAAAATTTTGACGTTTACTTTGCCATAGTGGTTTAACATAAACGCTAACATAGTGAAAATTTTGTTGAGTGGTAGGAAATATTGCAGTGAGATAAATGTTATCCTCTTAATGAAAAGATCTTTATGAAACATACTTTTCTTGATGAGCGACTGTGGATTTTATTAAGAATGATAACAGAGACCTTGGGAAGAGGCAATCAGAAAATAAGGGAGAAATCTTCTGTTAGCCTGATTATAATAGTAATTCAGTTAATTTCTCAAATTCCTAGCTTTAAACCAAAAAATCTGCTAAACACTGTGACCTCAGTGGAGTTTTTATTTGTTGCTCCTCTTTCATTATAAAAGAATAATGGGAGACTTTTTTGCTATGGTATGTCAGCTTCCTATCTATTCTTTATATAAATTATTTACGCACACTTTGGTCCATTTCTTTTTGGAAAATTCATCTTTCTAACAGCTTCTATTAGTCTTAGTTTCAGTAGCTTAAAGAATATGTTTCTTTTCCATTGTACATTTGGAAGTTTAGCTTTTCTCCTATTTTTTGCTAAAGTAAGTGATTTTTTACGTTCTCATTTTTAATATATTTTAACTAAATTCATTCATAGGTTATTAATAAATATTTCAGCACTTGACTTTGGAATATTTTCCCATTTTCTTCTTTATTAAAGTTTCCTTGTTTACTTATCTGACATTTTTGTAATATAACTGATGTTAATATTATTCAGCTAATACTATTCGGGAAAGATAGCTGTGCTTATCAAAAAATAGAGTTACATGATAATCTTTTAAATCTTCCAAACCTCTCATGCCCAGTGAAAACTTGATTGATAATAGAGGTCATGACATAAAACTGTACCCTATAGCTATATTACACACACACACACACACACACACACACACACGAGTTCTTACATTGTAATGCCCAAATGACTCTTTCATGTAAATGTTTGTATGGTGATTTTTTGCCATAGAGAATTTATTTTTGTAAATAAATTGAATTAAATTATGAAAATTTATAAATTTATCTTCTGCACTGAAGTGTTTAATATATTTATGCACACAAATACATGTATGTATTCTTACAGGAGGAGAGGCCTTCTTTTAGAACTTAAAAAATTTTTAAGCATTTTAAATTCACTTTTAAATTTGTGTTTTAGACATACAAATTTGTACTACAGAGGGTTTTTAATTAAATTTTAATAAGGAAAGTTTAAGATTCGTGAAGCATAAGCAACACGCCTTTATAACTTCTTTTCACCCCACTTTTGAATGAATCTGCAGGACAGGATGGTTCATGTGTGCAGCTTGAATAGCTCCAGGATTACTGGTCATATTCTTGGGACACAGGAAATATCAATGTGTAAACCTCGACAGGTGGTTTCTTCACTCACTGTGCTTTTCTGAAGGGGACAGTCTTCACTCCAGTGCTTTTGTTTCCGGGTTGCCCTATAAAAGATGTAGTGACTGAGCCCGGTGGATTTTTGAGAGAGGAAATTGTAAAGAGCTGGTGGGACTTGCTGCTGCTTTGCTTCTGTTACGGACTCTGAGGACTCCAGCAGCAGCAGAAGCATCTGGGAACTGGTTCAAAAACCAGAAGTTGAGGCTCCAGCCCAGCCCGACAGAACTGAAAGCCGCCCTGTGACAAGGTCCCAGGTGACTCATCTGCATGTTAAACTTGGAGAACCTCTGCGCCAAGGAGGCTTCAGAAATGAGGAGGGCTGAGGGTAGAAACAGATGGCAAATGAATGAAAATTGACATAAAAAATAAAGACAAACTACTCAGAGACCTCTCAAGCTAGAAGCCAGAACTCACTACTTCACCAAGCCCTGGGAGAATTATATTAGTACAAAGAACTAGATCTTTAACTTTTATTAACATAATCCTGTATAAAATAGGGACAGCAAAGGCTCAGACCGATTTGTTTTGCCACATTTATTGCAACATTATTCTCAGTAGCCAAGACATGACAGTAGTTTAAGTCTCTGCCAGTGGATGAGTGGGTTAAAAAGTGGGAACTATACATGCGTTTTGTTCTGCAATGAAAAGAAAGGAAACTACTGTGTACAACAAAGATAGACCCGGAGGCAGTACGCTAAATGAACTAAGCCAGACAGAGAAGGACAGATACTGTGTGATCAAGTGGAGCTGCGGGATGCAAAAGCAATCCAATTTGTAGGAACTGTAGAGGAATGGTTGTAAGGGCCTAAGTGCTCGATGTTGGTCAAAGGCAATAAGATGAGTGAAGTTCTGAGGAGCTGATGTACAGAATGGTGACTACAGAAAGTTGCTAACAGTAAATCTTGAGTGTCCTCAACACACGCAACTGGCAGCTATGAAAGGTGACAGACGCATTAGCTTCCTTAATTATGGCACATGTGCTGCAGTATATACACATATCATACCATCACATTGTATGCCTCAAATAGACGCAATTTCGTTTGTCAGTAAACGGAAAAATCAACAAACTATGTGATACACAAAAATGATTTATATCAAAAGGATTAAAATATAACCTATGACTAACACATCCAAATGTATACATCGGATAGAGGAGCATTTACAAATAAATATATCTAATTTTCAGATCTGTGTTCCAATATAAATACATCTCAAATACAAGTGAAACATGTTAGAGAAGGGCAAATAGCGTGTGTATGATTCCACTGCTATAAGGTACAAGGCAAATGAAACTCGTAGAGACCCCAAGTTGACTAAGGGTTGTTGGCTGAAGGGAAGGACAAAGGATGTGGTTATTACATGGGTACGGAGTTTTAGTCTGGGAAGATGAGAAGTTTTTTTTTTTTGGACCGGGAATCGAACTCATGACCTCGCGCTTGCTGGGCAGGAGCTGTGCCGCTGAGCTAGATCCCTGACCAGTGGTATTTCCCCACTTTCCTATGATGAGAAGTTTTGGAGACAGATGGTTGTGAGGGTTTTTCAACAGCAGAAATATACTTAGTACTGCAGAAATTTGTACTCAAAATTATTAAAAGAGCCAATACTTATAATACATATTCACTACAATAAAGTATATGTATTTATATATACTGTATATGTATAATTTCAGAAATGACATAGAAAAAAAGTCTATAAATTATTTTCCACTTTATTCCAAAAGATGTTAAGGTGGACAGATCTATGTTGTACCTAAAATAGTTTTGGGAAAGTCTGTGTGGGAAAAAAATTATTTAATGGTAGGCCTTTTAAGAGAATTAAAATATTAAATTGAAGAGTACATCTTCAAAAAGGAAGTTAGTGCAATATTCAAGGTTAAGAGTGTAAACCATGGAGTCTGTGCAATGTATTTTTGTTGTTGCTGTTTTTTTGAGACAGGATTTTGCTCTGTAGTTCAGGCTGATCTTATACTCATGACGTAGCCTAGGTTGGCCTCAAACTCACAGCAATCCTCCTGCCTCTGCCTCCCAAGTGCTGGGATTACAGGCATGCACCACCATGCCTGGCTGAAATGCCTTTAATTTGTATCAAAGTACCATCTCTAGTAGACTTTTATATTTAAAAAACCGTTGATTACTGATCCTGAAACTATTGTATTCATCAGTGTACTTAAAAGTGAAGTTTAAGGGCTGGGGATATATCTCAGTGGCATAAACGCTTGCCTGACAAGCCCAAAGATCATGAGTTCAATCCCCGGTACCACAAAAGAAAGAAAAAAAAGTGAAGTTTAGTCATGATATTTGTGTTCTCAGTAAATTTAAACAAAATATTTACAATCTTATTAAAATTTAATATATCGTCATGAAATGAGAGGCTTCCCATTTGCTACTCACCCATGACTTTTTTTCTATAGCATAGAGAATTGAACTGGAAGATTCATAAATATTTTAATTGTGATGATCCAGAGTTTTTTTCAGTAGCCACAGTGAAATTCTTTTTCTTGTGCCCATATGGTACGATGGTTAAATATGCAAGAGAAAGCTTTGTGATAGCTGGAAACTATTGCTCTAACTGACGAACTCCAACATAAATTTTACTGAAATTGTGAGCAGGGCCATCTCACAGAGAGAGGTAATGAAATGTACTTTATGATCAGAAAATTAAAAGCAAGAACATAGTCAACATGAAAATAGCTATGAACTGTATAAATGTTGAAATGTAGCTTTAGGATAAAAGTTCAAACTACTTCATCATCTAGGGCCATTTCATTAGTAAAATGTTCATCTTTAAACTTTCTATGGAACACTAAACATACCGTGCCCTTTGAAACATGAACATTAATTTTTAAAAATCTATCACTATGAAAATTTGCGAAATCAGTATGGTCCAGTCACTTCTGTAGAAATCTTCGGGGAATTTCCCAGCTATTTTTTACCAATGACATTTATTCTAGAACACTTAAAAAGGTTCTATGAAACTGACTGTTCTAGAATTTAACTGCTCTATAAAATATAAGTCAAATTCCAGGCCTAAGTTAAGGTTTTCCATTAATAATATTTCCTTTACATAATTCAAAAGGTTTAAGGTGAGGTAATAAATATTAAAGTCAGGAAGATCATGCATGGTAGTAACTATTAAATGCATGCTAGTAACTATTAAATGCTTTATCATATTTAATATGTTAAATGTTTATAAGTTTTATCTTTATGTTTTGTTGATTGTCTTGCTTTTCTTTTAACTATTTTGCGAGAATTAAAGCTCATTTATGGTACGTACTTGGAACTCAGTGGTAAATATCTGTTGTTATTAAAAATGATAGTGTTGGGGCTGGGAATTTAGCTCAGTGGCACAGCACTTGCCTGGCAAGCGCAGCGTCGTGAGTTCGATTCCTGGTACCGGAAAAAAACCAAAACAATAAAAAATAAAAAATAAAAATGATAGTGTTATGACTTTATGGAGCTTTCCAAAACTCTGACCAATGATATTTCCCCCCTTCCCTGCACTGTTACAAAAATGCATCTGTATAAAGAGAGATGTTTGGAAATTAGGCTTTATATTAAATTATATTAATTTGTCCCCAACACTAGGATCTAAGAGAAGCTGATACTTGTATAATTATTATTTTAGGAAAAGGAGATTTAGAGATCAAAACTAATTTCTCAGAGGCACCAATCAAGTTGCTGGAAGTTCTAGTTTATTCCCTGGTGCCCTAAAATCTGCTGTTTTCTGCAATAATTTGGTGTCAAAGCCGGGAAGGAAGTTTATGAAGCTTTCCCTAAACACTGACTTTCTCTAGAAGTAATTCTTTCATGATAAGTAAAGTAATTTAAATTCTTTCCAAGCTTTAAATTATATAATAGCATACAAAAAGGAAAGTTCTGAGTATCTAATTTACCTTCAATTATAAAGTGGCAAGGCATTTAACTTGGAAAAACTGTGAAAAGTAGAATAACGAAAGGAATACTGACCAGATGGCCTCAAATTCTTCAGGTACCCAGGATTAATGTAAATTCTTCTTTTTAAAGTATTTTTTAAAATCTACAGTCTCAGTAGGACTACAGCTGGCAGGTGAATCTGTAACTCACCAAAAAGCAGTAGAATTTTATGTGGTATTGTTAATACAGTGGAAATGGTCAGTTAGAATAAAATGTGCCAAGCTGGTTGATAGAAGCTTGTAGAAACCATGTCCCATGCAGAACATGGAAAACGTATGACAAGGGAACAAAAGCTGTTCTAATCATAAGAAAAGTTCTCTACAAAGTGGAGGATATTGCTGCCGTCCTACATTTGCTGGTTCATGTAAAGTCAATGTTCCACTGCATGCTCTGACTTCGTTTTCCTTTGCCTGTTTTCTTCTCTGGGTATGAACAGCAAACCATCACACCTGTGACTTTGAGTCTGGTTTCTGCAGCTGGGAGCCGCTTTTCACAGAAGATTCACAGTGGGAACTGGTGAAAGGACTGAGCAGTGGAGAACATCGTTTTTCCAAAGATAATCACACAGCAAACACAAATCATGGTAGGAAATTTTCCTTTGAAAAGTTAGTGTTCTTCCTTTCTTTCCCGTTTTAGAATAATGATACTGTATATTTTCATTTCCATATGTAGATTATGGTTTATTTTTCATTAAACTGTCCTGACCAATTTAACAATTAGTTGTTAATTGAGTTTCCATAAAGAATTATTATTTTTGTAGCCTACGTTCTTGCTGTTATAATCTTAAAAGGTTAGTTTGAAGATGTAAAGAAAGAACAAAGTTTTCTGATAATTTGAATTAGTACAGTAAGATTGCCTTCCTTGCAAACAATCCAATTTTTGCAAAACAGGAAGGAAAATAATCTAATCTTTCTGGAAATATAAAAGAGAAATTTAGTCCCGTCTATAAAATACTTGAATGCAGTTTAATCACATTTTGACTTCTTTATAACAAACGATCGTATTTTTTCCTTATTCTGAACTAGCATAATTTGTACATATAGAGGAGCCATACCATAACATATAGATGAACCATAACTATAACATACAGAGGAATCATGTATTCCAGAAAATAGTCTGTGGAAGTCTAAGAAAAACAGAAAGGTTTTGTTCTCTTTTCCATTTTGTTTACACTTGGATGGCATCAGAGGCTACTGAGCATATGCCTTAGTAGCATATTAACTTTGTAATCACACAACAGTAATATTGATCTTTTTAAAAATTCACTGAGCATCATACTAATTATTTCTCTTTTGAAACTTCCAACATTTGTAAAAAATAAATGTGGGCCATAATTTTAGAACAGTCATTGGAAATTGGGGTTGGTGGAGTAGGAAAAAAGAAGGAGACATTGACCATTCATCTGTTGGCTACAACTACAAACCCACTTTGTTTTTTTAAACACTGGATCAATTTCTTGCTTCTTTGCTAGTTAGGGTAATTTTTACTTGTAAGATTTGTGGCAGAGTAGTTTAGATTTAAGTTTAGAATAGGAAGGAGAATACTAATAATTGGAACTACATATTAACAAAACATTTTCTTTAAGAGCTTGTGATGTTTTGTGTTTCAAACCCATTACTGATTATGTAGAATAGACTCAAAAGATCTGAGTATGTAAAAGTGGAAGCTATGAGCCTTGTCTCTGAAATGGTTGGAGTCTGGCAGCTGCAGGAGATGAGCAAGAAATTGCAACAGGATATGATAAGTGCTTTATGGGGTGTGGAGGTGATTAATATGCACTTGAGATGCCAAATTGAAGGAGGTGACTCTTCAGCTAAGCACTGAAGAGAAATGAAAGGTATCCAAGAAGGCCGATGTAGAAAATTACAGGGAGATGACAAAGCCAAGGAAGGATGGAAGGGAACATGGCTTAATTAGAGGGAATATCCTGCAAGAGGATGAGAGAAGTGTAGGTAGTTCCAGCGGAGAGACACACATAATTGGACATGGAGTTTAGGACACGTGAAACAGAATGCCTAGGAGTTTGAAATTTGCCTGGGTGACAGTGGAGAGTCAGTCAGATTAAAGTGTGCAACCAATCATATTCATTCTAAAAAAGTATTTTAACTGAGATGAGGGGAAAGACTGAGTTAGAAGCATGTGGATGTACTGATATAATATTAGTGAGAGATAACCAAGGGCTAAACTGAAATAGCGATTCGCAGAAGGAAACTGCGTGCGGTACACAGTGAAACGCCCCGTCTAGCTCCTAAGGATGGTGCACTTCCCAACGTTTAATTGTACTGTTGATACTGCTTAAAATGCTTTAGTTTTGTTAGTGGGAAGATAGGGAAAAGTGAAAGTACTTGCACTTAGGATGTTATAAGAAGTAAACAAAATCTCATTTGTTTTTTCATACAGTAAGAACTCAATGAACACAAATATATAATTGTGTTCTATTCCGGTAGGAATGCTAAGAATACCTCCAAGTATGACAATTAGAAAACACATTTATAATTCATTTTCAAACTTGTCCATCTTATGATTTGTTCTGCAAAAAAAGATTGTAGTGGGGATTCTGTGTTAAATATTAAAATTCCCAGTCTTTTGCTTTTATACAAATAATGTTAAAAGATGAAAATGTAATAGACAAAAGGGGAAGCTGTTCTCATTCAAAGAGAGGACAAATTGCAATCTTTCTCATTTTAGAGAGGGCCAATTCAATAATAAAATTATATGTAAATATAAATGTATCTGAGTCTTAGAGTCAACACCTTTTTACCCATAATTACCCTTTTCAAACCTTAAGGTAGTCAATAGTGGTTTCAAGTCACAGATGAGGGAGAGAAAAATCAGAACCAGGAAGAGAAAGGAGGGAGTGAAGTGGACATTTCTAGGGGAACGCACTTGAGTCTGATAGTTCCTGTGTCTAAGGTAATGAAGTGCTCATCCATTTTGTTCTTAGAGCACCAAGTATATTGAGCTTTTAAAACTAATCTCCCATATTTTTTCTTTATCTGGATACCCCCATATATGTTTTCAAATAAAAGCTGATATTAATGTGGTATGTGTGTGTATTAAAATGAAGTCTAGCTTTTTTTGGCTTTGGCTTCTATTCTCTCATACCTAGATACTTTGCTAAACAACCAGACAGCTCATGTGCTTATCTTGTTCTTTTGTGTATGCTCATTTAATCATATACATAAGTCTATATTGTACATACTTAAAATTATAAGTATTTCATGATTTATTTTTATAAATATACAAAATATTTTCTTATCCTTTTTTGTTTTGAGACAAGGTCTTGATATGTAGTCCAGGCTGGTCTTACAGGAGTGTGCCAACATGCCTGGCTTATATTCTTATATGTTGTTACTATAGATTTTTCAAGGCAATTTCTCCAACTCATCAGGTATAAGCTATTTATTTCTCTTTTATGTCAAAGAATAATTTAAATATAACAAAATCTGTGTTTTAGTGTCCAGTTCACCAATTGGTTGTTGTTATTGTTGTTGTTGTTGTTTTGAGACAGAGTCTCACTATGCAGTTCAGGCTGGTCTTGAACTCATGTAGCCCAGGCTGGCCTTGAACTCATGACAGTCCTCTTGCCATGAGGCAAGAGGATTACACACGTGGCACCACACCTGGCAGTTTGCCAAATTTTAACAAGCATGCACAATTGTGTATAATACACATTATAAACCTCAAGTTATGAAGTTTTAGGGAGTTCCAGTCTCCCTAAATGCTTTGTGACATTTTGTAGTCAAAAACCTCTCCTACATCTAGATACTGACTCCTGATCAGATTTCTACCCCTGATGTTCCAGAATGCCATGTATATGGATTATACACTGCATAGCCTCTTGAGTCCAGCTTCATTTAATCAGCACAATGGATTTGAGATTCATCCATGCTTTTGCTTATTAAACCAATAGTCTCTTTACTGTTTTACTTTATTTATTTTTATTATGATTTTTAACTAATTAGTTGTACAGATTAATGAGTTTCTGTGTAGCAGTTGTCTCTTTTTTGTTTTACTATTGAGCAGTATTCCCTCATATAGCCAAATCATGGTTCATTTACCTACTCACCAATGGAAGGACAAAAGTTGGTTAATATTAATACAAACATAATAAAATTTGCAGATTTATTAACTTTTCTATCACATTTCATACCCACAAGTTAGAAGATAGTTTATATGACTCATGGTTTCAGGGGATTCAGTCCATGGGTAACTGGCTTCAAGGCAGAGACATTATGGCGGAAAGGCAAAGGGAAGCAAAGCTGCTTAGCTTGTGGTGGCTGAGTGGCAGAGCAGGGCAACAGTGCCAGAGAAGATGGGGCTAGGAAGTATATGTAGTTCCCCAAGTCATGCTCTGTTACCCAACTGGACACATCCAGCAGTGTGTTTCACTAATCCCCTAGGTGGCTCCCAAGACAATAAATTTGCCTCAATTAGGCTTAACTACTACAGCATCTATGTTTTCATCCAGACCCCATATTTATTTGGATTGAGAGCTTTGTACAATGCCTATGTATGAATTATTCATTTTAGTTGATAAAGAAATCCTACCATCCTTGGCCATTTGTGACTTTTGGGAAATGTTCCAGCATACTCTTTCAGGGGTTCACCTCACCCCCAGCCATGCAGATAGTTTTCCCACACCCATGCTTATAATGATGGAAGGGTAGCAGTATCTCTCTGTAGATCCCTGTGGGTTGCTGTCTTTGCAGCTGTAAAGGGATAGGGCATGCGGACCTGAAAGAAACAGCTCTACTTACCTTACAGGGGTCTCCCATAGCACCAACACTATCTTTACAATTCAGGAAGGTCCTCACACTCCTCTTGGGTTCAGCTTGTTACACAGCAGCCTGGAAGATGTCTGAACAGAAAACTGAGAAATGATATTAGCTAAATGCACTTGTTTCCCCTTTTTCTGAGCTCTCTAGCCTGTGAACTCATGTTTAAAAACCATTGTTCAACATCTATTTTTCTGATTTTTTTTTTTGCTTATTTAAGTCAGGAGATTACATATAGTCTATGATAGGCTTCCTTTGAAGTAGAATTAACCTAAGTCATGTTTTCATTTGCCTAATTTATTTAGTCTGGATGTGCCATACTGTATCTTTTCATTCTGCCTCCCAGTGATATTAATATTACGACAATGCTTATGAATTAATTCCTTACCCTTTAAAAATATACAATACTTTATTTTTATGAAATAGGTAACAAAGAATGAAGTTTCTGTGTTTCTAAAGCAAGATATATATTTATACTTTTAATAAATATTGATAGATTATTCTCCCCAGCCTTTAATTTTTAGTAACAAAGTAGTACTTCTCCCGAGTTTCCCACCAGCAAGAGGCATCGTCATTCTCTTAAAAATTTTCCAGTTTGTGGCTATGAAATAATTTCTCACATGTAACTTCTATTCACATCTAACTGAAAATAATCCTTTTAAATGTTTCTAATCTCTCAATTTGTTGAAATTGGCTTTACAGCTTTCACTGTAAAGATCTTGAAAATCTTTTGCTAGTATTTCCCTAGGTTTTTACAGCTATTGCAAATGTCACTCTTCTACAACATTTTGGGGGTTGTTGTTGGTATAGAGTAAATTTAGCTTTTTTTTTAAATGTTGACCTTGTAACTGATGGTCTTGATAATTTTGTTTGTTGTATCTAAAAGATTTTTTAAAAAAATTTAAAATCACTATTATTGTTTCTTCTTTCTGGGCTTCAGATCACACACACACACACGCACACACACACACACACACACACACACACACACTTCTGTTTCTTTCCACTTTCTGTCACACATGGGATAGGGCCTCTGGGAAATTGTTGAACAAGATTGGCAATAGCTGCTGGACTTGTCAGTAAAATCTGAAAAGCTGTCAGTAATTCAGTCATAAGTGCCATGCTTGCTGAAAAATTGTTGTCTCTATCAGATAACAAAATTCCTTTCTGTTAATAATTCATTCCATTAAAAACATTAAAATAAAATAAAATACGTTAAATTTCTCAAAGTTATATCCATTGTGATGATCATATTACCAGATTACCTATATTTATTTATAATGTAAATCGATTTTTCAAAAATTAGACTATTTCTTGCCATTCCTGAACCAACTTTCATTGATTTGGTTTCATTTTTTTAGATACTACTTATTTATTTATTTATATTGTATGGTAAGGCTTGTTTATGATTTTTATGGCTATATTCACTACTAAGACTCACCTCTATCATCCTCCAAATGTGTACGGTGTAACTTTCAAACCATCACATTAAAATGGGTAAATGCTTCTTCATAGGCCAGATCAAGGCCTACTTTCATCCTTAATTTTTTGTTAAAAAAAGTGAGGAAATCTATAATCTATAAGGTGATACATTTCAATTCTGAAATCTTTTCTTTTCTGTGTCATCAACACTTACGTCCACTGAGGAAAATCATTGTCTAACTGTGGTATTTTTTGGTCGAAACAGTTGACTTTCCAAGTTGTCCATCACTCGGTGATTATCAAAGGGCAGGATCAGACCTTGACATTGTCTGGCATAGTCTTCCTTGTACGCTTTCAGTATGCAATAAAGACTCCCTGACAGCAGCTTGGAGTGTGTGATCTTTCTGAGCTGCTAAGAGATGTTATCCCCCTGTACGTTTGCCACGAGCCCATCCTCTGTAGTTAAAATCTAAAAGTAGTTATTTTGTTAATGTTCAGATTAGATCTTTAATTAAGCTTTCATCCCCTCTAGCACAGACAACAATGTCAAATGTGGAAGCCCCAGGAGAAACCAAACTCATTCCATAGGCTTGTATCCTTTAGTACTTTTCGAAGAAACTTACAAATGAAACTGTCATGAGAATTTCATGTGGGCATACTGAATATCTAATTGTAAGCTTAGAAGCCTCTCTTAGTCTGATTTCAAACTCTATGACTCAAGGCGATGAAAATGTTTAAGTAACTTGGATCAAGAGCTTGCTGTTGATCAACTGAATTTTCCTTTAAATATTTAATGTCATTCCTATAAAATGCTTTCAGTTCTCTACAGAGCTAAATGATAAATGAATGAAAATGCAATTTTCTTATCTGGTTGACAGGTGGATAGGTGCAAGGATACGATGCTAACTCAAAGCTAAATGGATAGCAGTTGAACCTATGTCAGGATGACATTACCTTTGTTTTTACAGGCTCATATATTCGTTTTGGGGCACATCAGTTACCTGGAGTGGCCAAGCTTGCAAGCCCCGTCCTTACAAAATTGCTCCCTGCATCTTCACCATGTCAGGTAATTAATTGTTTTTGAATTTCATTGGTCGTTCTGTGGGTATAAACCACTGGACGTGGATTACTCTGCTAGTAAATGCCTGCCGTAGTTTACTGCCATTTTCATGATGAGCTAAGAGAATTTATATGAGCTCTTTCAGCACAAAATACCACATCCTTCCAAGAGACCATTTGCAATGCCTAACTTGCTCCATGCTTTTTGGAGGGCCTATTAAAGAAGCTTTCCGTTATTTTATTATCTTTTCTCATGAGCTTTTGAGCAATGACATGGGTTTTCCAAAAGTATTTGCTATTTTGTCAAATAATGTTAACTGAGTGAAGTCAGTTAAACAAGCACCTGTTAAAAGAAGGAGAAAAGGAAAAAATAAATATATATAGGAAAAATATACTTCTTTAGGGCAATTATCCTAACTTAAATTTTATCTTTCCTTTAGCTCTGTGATGCCAGATAAATACACACCAGGCAGGACAGTACTCACTTTAACTGCACAAGGGAGGAAAGCGAAATTTGGAGCCGGTACAGGTTCAAATCTCAGTTTTGCCATCTTTCTAAGTATGATGCACACAAATTATAAATTCTTCTGAGACTCAGTTTCTCCCCCGGGAACGTAAGCCTTAGTGTACTGTTAAACAAAGCATGTGGTAAAAGTTTTGGCACATAGTAGGAATTCACGAAACAAAATTCCTTCCCTTCCCATAAAATTAACCCCTTGAGTTGACTATTTTTCTTCAGCTCTCCTTGTTTTCAATTCTGTTGAGAGCTCCAACATACCTGTAAGTCTTTGGATCTCAGCTGATTTAGTTTTATCTTATCACAAAATAATGAAGAGATCAGGACTATTGCACATGTAACTTATTGCCTACAAATATAGGGTTACACCAGTTTATTCAGGCATTCTTGATGATCAATTGCTTATCATTTGGGGGTGCAAATCTAGTTATATTTTCAGCTTAGTATAAGTCTGAGTGGGAGGGCCTAAAGCACTTAGTATGTTGTCTTTTTTTTCCTTTTATATTTCCCTCTGGTTCTCTGTGGGAATGAAGATTAAAACAATTGTCTGTCTCAATTTCTACCTTAAGCAAGTGCCCTTTACCTGTTCTCACCTTTCCTTTATTTTAATTAAGTACTGTGTGATAGACAGAAAGATAGATATAGATTTTTTGAAAAGAACCCCAGAACCATTTATTTGGAATTTGAAAAGTGCTTTATAAGCTAACTTAGCTTTAACTCAAGGTCATACACTGAGTTATATGCAGAGATGATTTGGAATACAAAGGAATAAAATGCACTCATTTGGTTTAATATACGTACATATATATACATATATACAAGCTTATTAGAAATATGTAGAACTCACTTTATATTTCTTTTTGAGGATGATCTATATTTACCATCATTCTATGCTTGCTAATTGCCATTAATTTGTGGTTATTTGGATTGAGTTTCAAATTATCGCTATTTCTATGTAAGGACACTGCTTTATTTTTGATGAAATGTACTGTTATTTGTGGAAGCATCAGTGAAAAATTTTTATGGATAATTTAGACGCTTGATAATTTACCTGCAAATGAGTGTATCTATCTCCAAAGGCTTTGGATACTCACTTAATGGTTTCCCTTTTTTAATGAAAACTTACAATGCTTTGAGGCGCTACTACAGATTGTCTGCTGAAACAAGTATTTGTTTTGTCTTTTTTCTGCATCTACTTGAATTAGAGGGAATATTTGGATTACTTTACTTTGCAGCTTGGTAAGGAGTAGCAGCCTGTCAGAAGAAGTTATTCTCAGTGTGAATCTCAAAGACTTTTCCTCATAGTAGAATGAGGGCTTCACATGAGCTTGCAGTACTGCATAGTACTTTCTGTCATATACATTGCAGAATAAGCACATATACAAAATTGCTCTCTTTTTGAATACTTGGAGAATCCAGCAGATCACCCATTTAGAATATTGTGATGATAATAGCTTTTATGGAACACATGTCCTGAGCATTACAAAATCATAAAAAACCAGTGAGATAACTAAAGTTGCTTTGATATACTTAAAGCTTTCATTTTATGGAATGGTGTGATTTTTCCCCACACAGTCATACCAGGCTAATATAGTTATGAATATTTTTTGAAGGACTTTAAAGGAATATGAGCTTTTTTCTGGGTCACCGCTCCTTACAGTACAATTTTTGGATCATTTTGCACGAATTACTTTGTATTTAGAGTATAGCCAACACATGGAGTCAACATGCACAATTGACTTTCAAGGAATCATTGTTCAAGATGGGGACTTTAAAACCTTCAAAAATAACTTTATATACTTGTGGAAACTTGGCATTTTTCCTTAAAAAGGAGATAGGATGAATAAAACACATGCGAGGAAGAAGTTATTTCTTCTTACTGAGGTTGAGATGCAGTGACTCTTTACAACTAAGTAGGAAATACAAAATATAAAAGGGGTTAATATATTAATAATGTATAATATATTAATATTTCTGAATCTACATTTTAGTATACGAAAATCATAGCATTTTATTTTAGCATTTTTGTAATTAAATATAGGAAAATTTATAATATGAAAGAAAATTTAGTTTTTATTATTAGTTTTTAAGTTTGTTTCTCATTTATTTTTCATCATTCAAATTGTTTTCCAGTTATTTTAATACTCCTTCAGTTAAAATAATTCATAAATTTCAAAAAATATGAATGAAGGAACTGGGACACAAATAGATGAAGTATGAAGTGAGTTGATTCTCAAGATAGTTTATTAGGACCAGGCTACACACTGAGTCCATTTTCTAGTAGCCAATGAAGGGAGAAAAATTCATGGTTCAAACTCAAGGAAGTGAAAAGAAAATAAGTTTCCCCAAGACTTCTCTTTTGAGTTTTCAGAAGGACACCAATGTAAACATTCTATGTCTGGTTCATTGTACATACGTTCCTTACCTACTCTGCTAATCATAATCTCAATGCCTGTGAATTCACAACTACCCTGGCAATCTGTATAGGGTAATGAGTGATACTGATATCAATTTGATGTAAAATGCTAGAAGAGTAGTTGTAATATACTGATATTTACAAAACTTCCTTGAATGGTTTTGAAAGGCCATGTCTTACCACTTGCCTAAAGTATGGTGATGGACTCATCAAAGAGCATGTCTGCTTATAATAGTGCAAACATATCCTGTCCCCTGGTTCTACATTTGAATCCAGGGGTAGATGTCAGATTGTCTGATAGATTCTAAAGGAATCTACAGTCTGAGAATGAAGGGTTGAGTGAGTGCTATCTCTGTTATGCATGATCAGAACATGTGGAATTTAATTATTTCAATGAGTAAAACATCATTTTACTGACAATGCAAAAGTTCCACTTAAGCTTGTCCAAAGAAAGAATACTCAGGTTTAGGCATAATTATGACTAGAAGCTATAAGAAACACTATAGCCATATGATATTGATGAGGTTTCTGTGTATGTATATGTGTGAGTGTGTGTGTGTGTGTGTGTGTGTGTGTGAGAAAGAGAGAGAGAGAGAAATTTTAGGTGCCGTAGATGTTTTGAATTTGTTTTCTTTTCTGTGCTTCATTTTTAAACTTTTCTGTATTCTTATTATTTTATATCTTCTTATTCTTATTCTATATCTTGAAAAGATATATTGCATTCAACAAAAACCAGTCCACAGAAAACAGAGTCCAATGTGAAACAGGAAACCTAGATTTTGTTGGGCAGTTGTCCATTATTATAACAACACATCTGAGATAACCAAGTTACAGAGAGGAAAGGTTTATTTTGGCTCATCGTTTTGGAGGTTTCAGCCTTAGTTGGTTGGTCCTGTGCTTTGTGGCCTTTGGTGAACAGCATATCATGGTAGGAGCATGTAGGGACCAAAGCTGTTCACCTCCGTGAGGAAGTGGAAAAGAGAAGGAGAAAGGTGCTAAAATCTCCTTCAAGGGCTCATCCTCAGTGACAGGAAGGCTTCCACTAGGTCCCACTTTTAAAGTTCCTATCACTTCCTAATTGTGCCAAATTGGGGGATAAGCCATCAACACAAGCACAGGTCCTGCAAGATGCAGCCTATATAGCACAGAGATAGCTGAAGTTCTGCTGTCCAAATGATTGAGAAAGACGTGAAGATCTGACTGAGGGGGGAGGAAAGAGGCTCAAAGGCTACAGGAGAGTTGAGGAAAGAAGCAGCCTATTCCAAAAGGAGTGTTTTGATTAGTGGCAGATCAAAATTGAATGAGAAAGGAAACAGAAATAAAGAAGTCACTTTAGACTTCTAATAATGACCTCAGATGATCTTCTTGGGATTGTGTGTCAGAGCCTGATTACTCCTCTGTGTAATCACAGAGCTGGGCCTCCCAGGAATATCACAGGGCGCGGTGCGGACCTCAGAGCAGAGGGTGCTGAGTTTGTTTCCCCCTCTTCACTTTGCTCCCTCAACCGCACCCAGTCATGTCTTAATCACAGAGAGATGGTCTGTGCTTTTGGAGTAAAATCAGTGATTCAGTACAAACATAAGATCAGAATACAAATAGAGTACAATAATGTGACCTTCAATTCTTCTCTCCAGTTTGTAATTAAGGACCTGTTTTGTTGAGAGCTTTTAACTCCATGAACATGTCTTATTTACAGTGATACAGGTCTTGAATCCTTACTATAGATATAGATAGATATAGATATGGATAGATACAGGTCTTGAATTATATATCTATAATTATAGATATATAATTCATATATATATGTGTGTGTGTATGAAAACCCAAAATAAATAAAGTCAGGCTCTTTACATTTAACTCTTACATTTAACTCTTTATATTTAACTCTTATTTAACTACTTTTTAGTAAGTCAAGAGAATTATTTCTTTTAAAATGGTAAGTAGTAAATTTTGAAACTTAGCTTTCATGCTATGCAGTTGTTTAATACAAATTTCTGTTATGATGGAAAATTGATTATGTTCAGTATGGTAATCACTAGGTATGCATAACTGTTGAGGACTTAGGATGAGGGGAATATTACTGAGAAACTGAACTTTTAACGGAAAAGGAAGAAGCAAAAAGCAAAAAAAATTTACAATAGAATGAAACTTAAAAGCAGTCACTTTAGATCAAATGAGAAAGATTCTGTTTCTGAGGGGATTTATCTTTGGTTTGGTTTTCCTTTAATATATACCACCTCTGGACTCTCTATGACAGTGAAAAGAGGAAAAATATTGACTGCATTATACGTACACTTGGTTTTGTGAAGGTTTTTCAATAGATTTTATAGAATAAGTCACCCAACATTTGAGGGAATTGATTTTTATTTTGTCCATTACCGCATACTTAGTAGGTGTTCAGTAAATATTAAAATAAATGAGTGTTAAAGTCATGTTAGGGCTATTGCTCCCAGCACCTAAGATAGTCATATGGTCTTCATTATGTGGCTTAGCCATCCAAGCTTTAGCTTATGTCATCACTGACGATGAATAGGACGTGAAATAATTAAAGCTCTCTAGGTTCACAAAGACTCATTTTTTATTTGGCTTACATTATGGTTGAACAGTATTCCATGTGCTTCCAAGTTTTTTGATGATGTTACAATAGAAAATGAATTAATGAAAGTTGTTCAGTGCAATTTTGCTTTATTTGAGAAAACAAATTTTAGGGGAAACTAGTTCTTATTTTGAAACAGTGGAGAACATAGAGTCAATGCCTGACTTTGTGTGTTTGAAACAGTGGAGAACGTAGAGTCAATGCCTGACTTTGTACCTTTGAGTTATAATGTGTACCTCTCAGATTTATAAGATGCAAGAGAGAATGATCCTAAGAAAAATACCAGTCTGTAAACTTGTCTTGATACTACATTAAGGTCCCATTTATAGCCATGTCTCCAGTGTGTGATAAAAATAACAAGTTTTTGTACCTGCCTAAAGTTTTTTCCTAAGGGAGAAATACAAACAATAGAAGAAGTCCTTAGCATTTTCTGGGGGCGTGTCCTTGGAGGAAGGGGAACTCAGAAGATAATATTGGTCACCAAAATATTTGGAATATTTCTGATTATAGCAAAACTGCAAGAGATGCATAAATGGAATATTTGTATCATTCAAAACCTTTTTCACCAGGTGCAGTTTTGGTATCGTTTGTCCGAGCACTCTCTCCTCTCAGTGTTTACAAGAACACTGAGTGGAAATTTGCAAAAGCAGGGCGAAATCATCAGATTCTCTGAATCTCAGTGGAGCCAAGCAAAGATCAGCCTCTCTCTGAAAGCTGAACAATCCATTCTGCCCTTTCAGGTAAGCTCTTAAGAAATGAATGCAACTCAGCAGAAGATATTTAGTGCTAATCCTTTCAGACAACAAAGTAAAACATGTAATGTACCATGAAATTGATATCAATAAAGCAAACACATTCATGATCATAGATGGATAGAGAGGTTATTTTTGTCTCAAGGCTCAGGGCTCGTGTGTCAAGAATAGCAAAAGTGAGAAAAACACTAAATAGGGTGGCAGTGAGAATAACACTTTGAACTATTTTTTTTCCCTAAATGGAGATGGTGGATTATATAAAGCAGTGAAAAAATTCTGACTTGGGCCATACTTAGATTTTAATCCTATTGCCTTATTTTCCGTTGTTGTTTAACATGGAAAATTGCTTTTATCAACTTTTGATGTGATTGTCTTGGTTAGTACTGTAATGCAGCAGGCAACTGCAGCTTATTAAATGGGTGCTTCCCTTAAACCCTGTTCTCATGACTCCCAGGTGACATTTGGAAAGAGTCATTTTAGACTAGACTGGATGGGGAGTATCCTGAAAAACATACTGTTTTTGAAATCGGGGTCTCTGAGTTCCAATGTGTGCATATCTCATTGGTCCAAATGACTGAGCAGATATTGTTTTTGAACTTCCTATGCAATGATAATAAAAGCAATACTTAAGAGGAGTCTGAGTATTAGCGAGAATGTAGTTAAAGTGGTGGCATACACATGGGCTCTGGAGTGTGTGTTCAAGCCCAACAGGAAGTCGCTTAAGCCTCTGTCAATCTGCCTCTTCCTCTGTGGATGTGGGCTGTGAATATAATTGTTGACCTTTAGGTCCTTGGTAAATAATACACCTCATTTAGCCTTTACTTTTGAACCTATTGGGATAAATGTAGAAGTCAAACAGATAAAATATTTTGGAACAGATGCCTTGATAGTCTATAGTCATGTATTTGAAATAATATTTGACTTCAGAATACATAGATTTACTCAGAGAACATATAATTCTGCCACAGAAATTTAGGAACATGAAAATCTCAGTTAATAAAATGAACCCATTGATGAAATCAATGCCTCACAATCTAATCACCATTGAAAAGCCCCACTTATGAACACATGGGCTTTTTTGGGGTCATACATTGATCTAAACCACTGGTGGTAAGCCTACGGCATGCATGCTGCTTGCATGCCCTCAGTTATCACTGAAAGCTCTAAAAGGTTTGCCATCATTGATCTAAACTGAAAAGGTCCTACTGGGAGTTGGCTGTAGTAAGTGTTTGTTTTGGAAACTATAGATAAATACAAATAAAAGGTTCTTCAAATTTCACCACCAAAATTTACCACTATAGGTCTACAACCTTGAGTCAGCAATTTAGAAAATTTAATTTGTAAAACAATAAGCTTTTGCCCATTGAACTGAGTTGTAAAATCCAAGCTTAGCCGAATCAATGTGGTTTTCAAGCACATCTCACTTAGTTTATTTAGTGATGGGTTTGATTGTGTATGTATTGTCCCCGCTTCCCTGAGGGTATCATGTTATAAAGACAACCAGTATGTTATTGGACACTGTCCAGTTTGAATTACACAAATCTCAAAACCTATCTGGCCCAAAGACTTTAGATTAGGCATCACGGGCTTATATTAACATTCATGTGAATATCAGTTCTCAGTTCATATTTCATGTGTATATCCATATGCATATTTACACACAGGTATATACTTGGCATATTAAATATATCAATATGACAGAGTAACTATTTCAAACTAGAAGTACATACAGAGAGAAGCAAATACAAATGTACTCACATCTCTGAATTGTCAACATTTTATTTGCTTATAATGATGATGTTTATTTGCTGATCAAGATGAGGTTTTGTCCTCCTTGTTTTCTTCCCATCCCATTTCTACTACTCTTCAGGACAAACAAATGTTACCATTGTATTGGTTTTAATCTAATTTCTCCAAAAGTGTTTTGAATAGTATAAAAATATGCATGAAGATGCTAGCCAACTGCGGTTCTACGTACTTCTTTTATTAACAACAAATGAAAAAGATACTTTATAGCAGTTACAAATATTACATCTATGGATTAAATGTTCAAAAATCTATCTAAAGTAGATTTTTTAAGAGACAGGCTAGAATTTTGGTACTTCAGCTTTAGTGGATTGCATTGTTTAAGGGTGATTTTAGATACTGCTGAGCCCTCAGCTCAATATAACTAAGCTCTGAAAGTATTTATACAGTATAACCCAATCCAATCCAAATATTAGAGGGAGGAAAGGCATTGGGACTGTGTGACCTCTTTGTCCTCTTGGCCATGAAATTTGGTTCCAGCATCATCCTTTTAATGCCAATTTTAGACTATAACACAGTAAAAACTGCTTTGAGTTTCTCAGGAAATAAGTACCCCTATTTGGTAGGATGTTCATTCTTCCTGCTGGCAAAGGATTTGGAATAATGCTTATTGTCTAAAATCATTACCGTTTGTATATTCTTTCTGTTACTTGGGTGGCTTTCACTGGAAGAAGCTCAGTGCAATAGTTAATAGTATTCTTGTCAATCTCTTTTAACTTGGTCTGCTCGTTTGCTGTGTTCAGCTTTTCACACAAATATATTCAGTTTTAATTTCTCTTTTCCCTGCTGCTCTCCTCACTCTTAATGTTAAAAGCGATGTCTTTTCTTTATTGTTTGATTTCATTGATTTCACATTGTTCTACTTTCTGCAAGTTCCTGTTTAAACATAACACTTTTATATTTCATCTTGAAATGACTCTTGTGAAATTTTCCAGAATGATCAATATAGATCTTCACTCCTAAGCAGAGTCAATGATATAAAGCAGTAACAATTTCCTGGCCTTATTTGAAGATTTAGTGAAGGGTGAGATTTATAATGCAAAAGTAAAAGCAGATCTAGTCTATGCAGTTTGCTGTGTCTTCAGTCTTCTTAATCTAGATGGTAATTCTACCAATAATTGAAATCATTCCTATTAAACTCTTTAATGCCTAGAGCTTCATTTTTGGAACACCTGTAACAGTGGAACATAATAAAATTTTTTCTCTTTAAATTTTTGTTCCTTGAATTTTTCTAGGTAAGGTATGTGAATTTCATGAAAAAATTAAAAAGATTGCAATCTTTAGCATAAGTGCATTAAAAAGAAAAAAATGGTCATTCCCTCTTAAAATATACAAGTGTAAATAATTATCATCTCATCATTCAACATCATCTTGGCTATTTCTACTTTTTGTTTTAGCATGCCGATCTGAGCACTTTCCTTTGGGGACTAGTGTTAATAAATAATAAGAAAGAAAGAAGTAGTTTAGAAGAGATCTTTCAGCTATTCATGAAGTAAAAGTAAAAACTTTCTTTTATAAGATTTGTAATGAAATTTGATAATTTAAATGTTAGATTAAGTATACATGTCTTTGTTTCTAAAACTATTTGTCCTGATGATAAATAGTTTGATGATTTTGCTTTCTTCACTTACTCTGTTAATCTAAGGCTTTGTTAAATTTTGTTTTGCTAGGTAGCTCTGTTATACAGTGTTTGCTGAGGATCAGATATGTCTTTACTTCATTACAGTAATACAGTATAGCATAACTAGTATAATCATTAATAGCTCAAGTAATGGATTTGGTATCTTATACTTATTTCTTCTGTAGCACCTATGATATAGTTTACTTGTTAGGGGAAAAGCAATGATCTTTTCCTCACCATCATGAGGTTCATGGCTGATACTCCCATAACAAGAGACAGATTTCAAAAGAGAAAGATGTAAAGATGTATTCAGTTTTACTTGAGATGGATCTTCAGAAATATTGAAGATCCAGGGAAAATTGTATTTTAATGTAAAGAGGAATAGACAATGATAGAAAAATGATTTGACAAAAATGTATGATATCATGGCAATGAATTGGAGGAAATTTAGCAAGGCCTATTTGTTCAGATTCTTTTTGCCTTGCTGTAGCCTTGCTTTCCTCCAGGTATAAGGCGGGACATTTTTCACATGGAAGTACTGTGATAGAACCCACTTTCAGGCTCGGTGGGTCAGAGAATTCCTCAAGGGCCAGCTCTCATACAGAAAAAAGAAAGTCGAAGTGACCTCCACATTTACCATATTTTGGAGTAGTGTGTTCTGAGCCATGACATAAATGAGACACAACTAAACTCTGAGATCCTGGAGATCAGATGTCCTGTGATAAGAGGAAGATGGCCCTGTAATCTGTGTCCATGACTGCTGGTCTGCTGCATAGGCCATTAAAGCTCTGGAAATTATCTTTCTTTCTCTCCCATCCCCCCCAGCCTCCCTTCTTTATTTCCTTCCTTTGTGGTGGAATAACAACATAATAATGTGAGTGATTAACAGGAAAGAAACAAATTATATCAGTCATTATTCAGAGTGTTGGAATAAATTAAACTGAAATAGATGCCTCTCAGTGCTTTAGCAAATGAATATGAGCAATGGCTCTATGTGGTTTTTGGTTGTGTGCTTTACCACATTAAGTATGTTTCTGTGTGTATATACATAATATATACATCTTTAAATATTCTGCATATGGAAATGAATCACTGCCTCCAGCAGACCCATTACAAATGAATTCATATCTCAATTAAATTGAGTGGTAAACCACACAGTTGATTACCCCAAAGAGCTCATTTTAAATGCATATGATTCTTAATGGCTCCAATGGGAAGAGGAGCTTTCACAAGTGATGAATGTGGCAACTTTTAATTGAAACAAGGTTACCTAAGATATCAAGGTTATATAAGATGCTGTCAAAGCAGTTATGACTTTATAAATTCATAAGCTGAATGTTCCAGTCAAAACATTTTTTTTTAATAGAAAGAGAAAATGGGACAGGTTCAAATGAGTTCCTCTATACAAAGAAATATTTTTGTTAAGACTTACTCTTATGACATTTTAAATAATTTCATCTTTCTGCAATTATAGCTAATTCTAGAAGGTACTGTTTTTTCACTGAATGCTACAGTTGCACTGGATGACATCACTATATCAAAGGAATGTGAAGTTGCCTTTAAGACACTTTCAGGTACCAGCGTGCAAAACAAAGGTAAGTGTTTTCCTTGTGATTATTTGTTTTGAACATCGATTCATTTAACCTCTTTATGATATCAACATACAAAATATATTAAGGTCACCAATACAGTACTAAACAGAGAATTTGGATTATATCGTATGCCCTTGACACATAAAATAAACTTTTTACAGCCGTAGGGACTGAATCCAAGATGTTGCTCCCAGCCCCTGTTTTATTTTTCATTTTTAGGTAGGGTCTTGTTAAGCCCCTAAATCACTTGGGCTGGGCTTGAATTTTTGATCCTCCTGGTTGACCCTTTCTCTGTGCTTAGATTATAGCTGTGCACCACCACATCCAGCTCACCTAGCCCTTTTTTATTTTTTTTATTTTGAGATAGAGTCTTACATGTTGCTAAATTTCCCATGCTGTGTGCTAGAATTTACCACCCTCCTGTCTCAGCCTCCACAAGGGGAATAATAAACATGCACTACTATGTCCAGCTGTCTTGGTTACTTTTCTCTCGTTGCTGGGACAAAATACTTCATGACCAAAATTAAGGAAGGAAAGGTTTATTTCCCTTGCAGTTTGTGGAGGTTTCAGTCCATACTTGGTAGGATACAAGGCAGAGTGGCACATGGCAGAGGGCTACAGCTCATGGCGGCAGAACACAACAAAAGCAACAAGCACAAAAGGGAGGAAAGGCCACAAGCAGCCTCTTCCTCTCCCTTACAAATGCACACTATCCACCCCAGGGCAGGTGTACCTCTCACACCCATAATCAGTCAAACTCTAAAAGCCTGACCCATGACCACATGAGGCTTTGGGGGGGATACCCAGACACAAACCACAACACCAGCTTTTTATATTTTAAAGTAAAAATATGAAATAATCACATTCTAGGCCTTAAACTCTTGTTCAAATGTATGGAAGAGATTCTATTTTTATTGCTGAAATTTTCACACACAGATTTTTTTAATTATAAAAATTGTGAGAGAACTATAGTTATTTTGCATGTCTTCAAGATATTCCTATAAAAATAACTTCTACTAAATGTTTTTCTGTTTTAATTGAGCTTGTAATGAAATTCATATTTTGAAATCACTCTGGAGTTAAAAAAAGTAACTATATTTAGAGAAGAGACTTAAAGCCAGCCCCAAATTTAAAGGTTAGCCCTAAAATTCTTTACTTACAGTTAAAAATATTTTTAAATAGGAGATGGAGTTTATAAAGAATCTCAATGAAGGGCCAAAAAAGATTGTTATAAAAATGGATTCAAGTCAGTCAGGTACTGCATTTTATAAATCTAATCATTATTCTGGGAGTGCACTGAAAAAGTATACATCATGCCCCTGGTCACTCTATAACATAACAGTAATTGATATTTCTTTCTGACATCTTTACCCCCAGGTCTCAATGAATAAATAGAGAATATTAAAAGTGTTACTTGAAGGCTATCAAACTTTGCTTTTCCTAATCCCTATACACAAAAAATAATTTGTTACCTGAAAATCAGGCATTCTGTGTAGTTTGCAGTCATATTTCCTTAAACAATACATTTAGTGAGAAAAATTGCATTCTTAAAGCAGCTAAATGCACTAATTAGAAAAGACATAAAGAACTGGATTGCACTGGATTAAAGAAATTTTTTAAAAATTAATTAGCTTATTATTTTTAAATTGGAATTGTACACATTTTGGGAGTATAGCAACATAATTTAATACATATACACATGTATTATAATTAAATTAGGGCACAGTCTAACCTCCCTAAATATTTAACATTTTTTTACCACAAATACTTGTACATATTCGTGAGACAGTGTGATTGTCGACTACATATATACAATTTACATCTATCGAATCAGAGAAATTAACGTTTCCATTCATTGTGACTTTGACTTGGAGCTTTCAAGCGTCCTTCTTCTAGGAAATCATAAAATATATAAAAGTTACTGAGAACCATAGTTGCCGCATTGTGTTATAAAACACTAGATTTTACTACGTAGTCTAATTGGGTGTTGGTTTCTATTATCCCTCTACACTCCCTTCCCAATCCCTCCTCAACCTCTTAATCTCTGTTAATATTTTTATTACCTTTTAAAATCATTAACATATGAAAGAACATCTGGCATTTGTCTGATTTGTTTCACTTAACATAGCTACCCTTATTCCACTCATTTTGCTGCAAATAATAGCACCTGTTTTTATGGCTGGATGATATTCCACTGTGTACATATAGATTTCTTTATTCCTTTATTGATGGGCTAGGTTAATGCCCTATTTTAGCTGTTACAATGACTTTAGTTAAAGATCTCTTATTGAAGACATGTTCTGTTCAATAGTTTGTGTAATTCTGTGTGCTAACATTGTGTGTTAGAATGTGTCATACATGCATAAAACAACCTTTCTAATTTCTGCACATGTGTGCCTCATGTGTTTGTGTGTGTATATGTGTGTGTGTATGTGTGTGTGTGTGTGTGTGTGTGTGTGTGTATTGTGTGGCATGGCTCTGATTGACCCTGATAAATGCAAGGCAACAGATTTAATGATTCATGAATTTTCATGGGCTAACAACCATTTATCTTTTCCATGCTTATTAAAACATTCATTTCTCCTAACCAAATATTTCTAAACTAACATTGAAATTATAAGCATTAATATTAACATTAAAGAGATGTCACTAGAGATTTGAAGGCAGAAAGATATGATAGATGTCATCTTCCAACTATCATAAGGATCATAGCCAATACACCGATAATAAATGTAGGTTAACAAGGGAAAAGCGTAACAGATTTAAGCAACCTTTCACATGATATAGGAGCCTTCAAAAATGAAGATCCAAAGAGCTAGAGCAAGTTGTCTGCATTTATACTTTGGTTTCATGAGGGGTGGACAGCTATAAAGAAATGTGATTGGAGGAAAGGTTGTTAGTGAAGGGGAGGGAGACCCACTAAGGTCTGTCTGTTCAGATTCATCTTGGCCTCTTGTGGCGTGTTCATCCCCTGCTGTTATGGGGTAGATCTCTCTGGAGTGAAGGTCTTGCTTATGAAGGACTTTCAGAAATTAAGTCAGAATTCACTTATGTGTACCTCAATCCAAACACCAAATCAGTAGATTAGGACATAAATCTAAACAGGCTAAAATTACACGAAAGATTCCATAATCAAATTTACATGAATGGAATCAGGGATATAGCTCAGAGGCACCATGCCTGCCTGGCAAGCACAAGGACCTGAATTCGATTTCTAGTAGAAAAAAATTACATGAATGATGCATTACATGAATAATTCCTAAAAGACTAAAGGTTTAATGCAAAAAATAAAAATATCATTCTTACTGATTTGTCTGTGTGTACTGAAGGTAATTATAGGACCTCCTTTATGGAGGTTAGTATTACTAGTGGGTAGAGGTTAGGAAGAGCCTGAGAAGGGGAATTTAAAAATGTTCCCTGTCTCACAGGCAAAGAATTGTCATATCTTTGGAACACAATGGCCAGAGATTTTTCCTGACCCTGTCCTTGAACTGAGGCTTTTAAATGCCTTAACTGGCATACAAATGTCTTCACCACTTCAGAGCAATCTTGGAGCAGGGGCCTTGTATATTTACATTTTAAGTGTAGCACACATGGTAAAAATAGCAAGTGGTACTCTACCTTGACCTTTTGTCTGGCATCTTTAGTTTCAGCATATTTAAAAGCTAGTGTTGATGGAAACACTGTATATTCCATTTATTTGTTGAAAGGGAGATAATGTTTTATCCTTTTGATCTCAGTTTGAAGCTGGCTTTATGTTGTGTGAGGACAAAGGCTGTATTTTATCAAGTAAAGGTCTGTGCACCAAAGCAAAGTACACGAAGCCAATTGTGAATGAAAGTACTTCTTCATCCAGCTAAAATTTGTGTGTACACATTTACTTTCTGAATGTAAAGTGTGTACTGTTCAAGTGAGTACTGTTTAATGAAGACAGTCAGGATGGAGACTGCTATACAAGCTATGAAATTTTGTAAAATTTTGAATAATTTTACTGAATATTTCTGTATTTGTTCATATAGTATAATACAATTAATTAAATCATAATTTATGTGTACATGTTTTCAGATCCGCCCCCCCCCTCCGCCAGTTAAAATATTATGTACTACAGAGGATGAGGCAGGAGGATCACTGAGTTTAAGGGCCCTTGTGCTACACAGCAGCAGCAACAGAAAAAGAAAAACAAACAGGGTAGCAACAACAGAAAACATCAAACAAAATGAAAAACAAAGAGGAAAACCCACTGACTATGATGTTAAGTTTTTCCAAGTGTTTGCTCTCAGTAACTGAAGTGCAGTCGTGTGTTGCTCACGTTAGGGATATGTTCTGAGCAACATGTTTGGCGGTTTCATCACAGTAGAAACATCATGGGGTATATTTACAACTTGCTAAAAGAGTACAGCATCACTGAGTGAAGTCTGTTTTGAAATTTGCTTTAGTTTTCACCTTATTATGAAGATACTATTTGTTACATTCTTTTTTTTTTTTTTTTTTTTACATTTTTTGAGACAGGGTCTCGCTATGCAGTTCAGGCTGGCGTTGAGCTCACTTGGCAACCCAGGCTGGTCTCAAACTCCCAACGATCCTCCTGCCTCAGCCTCCTGAGTGCTGGGATTACAGGCATGTGCCACCACGCCCAGCTACGTTTTATCTTTTTATAAACAAGCACTTAATTTTCTCCAAGACTCAAAGGCTAAAATCTCAGAAACTTTACTAGGCAATTACTACTTTACCTAGTGCTTTCTGTTGTTCAAGAAAATAATGTATGTACTCAATGATGATTTCACATATCAAATAATATCAAGGACACTTCTTAATTTTGACATAGGTTAAGCAGACTCATGTAAGCTATTTTGTTCTAATCTAAGCTATGTGATATAGATGAAAAAAAAAAACCCTGGAATTTATTTAAACTGCTTTATAGGCTCCAAAGGAATTTTAATAAATCCAAACAATATTTTTGAGCACTGTAATTTGTTTCTAAAGATTGTTTAGTCTGAGATGGG